ATAATCCAAATTGAGGCAGAAGTTTTGCCCCCGTTGCCCCTGTTGTTGTGGGGCAGTATCTCGGGCTCCGGTCGTGTGTGGGCAGTTGACAGGGGAGGAATGTCCGAGTGGGCAGACTTGAACAGAGTCATTCTTGAAACTCACAAACGGACGACAGAAAAGTCCCTGCCCTCCAGGGTGACAACGACAGAGGGGTGGAGGGGGGTCACCGTCTGCGTCATCGCAGCCTAATGTAATCGTCAACCGTAGTCAGACATACGGCAGCCTCGTTGTTTGACTGGGACTTCAAACAGAAGTTTATATTCACACATATATATACGTGTTAACCAATAAGTTAACCAATACGGTGTACATATATTTTTACAATTTATTTTGAAAAACAAGTGTGATTTCTGATTTTCACATTTATTTCTTTTAAATACTTTGTATAATAATTGATTGTTTGTGTGTTCTGTGTCTGACATCTTCATCCATTTATTACTTAATGGGGATAAAGCAGAATATTTATCGTTTTATTTATCGTATCGTATATTTATCGTTTTATCGGACAAATAAAGTCATTCTCTCCGAATGTAGACTAGAATAAAGAATAAATTCATATTTGGCATCTACAGCAAATAATGTGGCTTAAAAAAACAACTAATCAACCAAAAAATATATCATTAGTTAATCTTCTAATGTTTGTTTTTAATTACTTAATTAATTTTTTTTGTTTTGTTTAGTTTAGTTTTTCGTTTCCCTGACACGTCAGTCATGTGCGGTCCTTTCAGTTCAACCCAAACCATGATCACATTTAGATGCTGCCCTCTAGTGGTCGATTAGCCCCGATGCGTCACAGACAGGTTTATGTTTCCATCGTCACGGGTCAAAGCTGGGACAGTAATAATAATAAAAAGGATCGTGTAAATTTTATTTTCTGATTTAAATTATTTAATAAAAAATGTTATCAAATATTTTATAACATTTATTTGTCAGACCATGGATGTGACGTGGCCGTGACGTGGGTCATCCCATATTTAAGGAAGGAAGTTGAAGTAGACATGGATGAAATGGTCCAGAATCAGCAGTACTACAGTAGTATTACAGTGAGTACTTCAAACTCAGAACATAATCAAACAAATGGAATCGAAAAGGAATCGTTATCGTCGATGTGTAACGGTAATGTTGTTGTATTACACCACTAGATGGCGCAAGAACAGTGCCTCCTGTTGGTGCACACTCAGCGAAAGCTGACACAGACATCCTGTAATGGATACGATGTCAGTTGTCCGGACGATCGAATAGTCATTAAGATAACGAAAAGTTAAATGTTAATATAAAAAAACTCATTTTCTAACAGTGATGTTCAACCTGAGGTTCCAGAATTCATACAATTCTGTGTGTGTGAACGTGTGATGGACTGTGGATGAGCAGCAAATGTCAGTTGTCCGGACGATCGAATAGTCATTAAGATAACGAAAAGTTAAATGTTAATATAAAAAAACTCATTTTCTAACAGTGATGTTCAACCTGAGGTTCCAGAATTCATACAATTCTGTGTGTGTGAATGTGTGACGGACTGTGGATGAGCAGCATAACTGACTGACTGAGTGAGTGATTTACACCAGCATCCAACACTGTGGTCTCCAACCTGTGGCCCCCGTTATTGGCCCTGGGTCTGGTGTAGTGTCAGTTAATGGACCAGATTTAGCCTGTTGCTAGTACCTGGTACCTGGTACCTGGTACCTGGTGAATACAATCATTCACATGAACATTCACACAAATTGGAGTGAATCATTAACGTTATCATGTTTGTTAACCCCTCCCTGGACTGTGGGGGGAACCAGGAGAACAAAGAGCACCACCATGTGGCCATGATCCCCGAAGAAAAGTGTCGACATACAACCTATTCAAATAGTGGTTCGAGGGCCACCATGCAGCCCAGGAAAAATGTTCTAATGGCCCAGTCTTACAGTACTACATTACTCTGAAAGTAAAAAAGGTGAATTTATGAATGAAAAGTTTAACTTTGCAAGAAATGACAAATACTGGTGTTTGCTAAGGTTTCAGTCTGGTTTGGGACCAGTTTTGGCTTGTATTCATTTCTGCCACCAGGGGGCCCAGAAGAGTTTTTTTTTTGAGGCAGAACCGACGCAGTTGACGTGAGACACTGGCCTCTGTTACTGTAATATCAGTAGTAGTACTGCGTTATGGAAGTATGCTTCCTATTTGTATTACCAGCCAACTCAAACTCCCAGAACATTCTGCCTCAGATTTAGTGCCACACGATTCAGCAGCCCAACGGCTCCAAGTAAAAACGATGCCCTGACCTTTGTCGTCGACCCCACAGGCTGAATTGTGACGTTGGTCATCAGCAGCGCTCGTTCCTGCTCCTGTTACTCCTCCATTTTGTGGTTTGCTCACAAATATAGTCGCCACGACGACTTGACGACTTCCTCCATTTTGTGGTTTGCTCACAAATGTAGTCGCCACGACGACTTGTCGCCATTAGACGATGTTTGTACCGTTTTCTCATTAGGGCTATTTTTAGGATTGTGATTTTAATCAGCTCCTCATTACCTCACACTGATGCTAATATGCTAATGTATGACGTTTACATTTTAACAGAATCTCAGGAAATAATAAAAAAATACTATGACCTACTAGAACGAATTGTTGTTGTTGTTGTTTTTTTTAAATGTATGGACTCTATAACAGTATTGGCTGAATTATTTTTAAACTTAATCTGGTGAATGCTGGTTTGGAATTAGCAGGGAAATACCCTCATGACCTCATATCCTGTAGCACATAAACAATTCTTGCTTGGCGCTCCTGATAAAGTCATCCAGTGACATGTCAGCATCAAGAAGCTTCTGGCACAAAGGCGCGTTTGAACCCGATCACCTTGATCTGGAGGCTCTGCTCACAGTGAGAGGCCGATATTTTGGGTGCAGCGTACGAGAAGTTCTGTGTCTGCGGCACAAACCTCTGCGTCTGGTGTGTTCAGGCAGCGCTTTGGAGGAGATTTAAATGATATGAGAATTAAAAGTTGTCTCAGTCTGGCTGGTGTTTCCCGTCAGGACGTCTTTATTTAGTTCGTCATTTTCTGACTTTACTTGACGTCTCGTCCAAGAACCAGTGCCTTAACGCTCTCTTGTTTGGCTCAGGTTATTTGACTTTGAAGGCGGATGTTCCTGCTTTTCTCAAGGTGAGCCAGAATCAGCAGAGACCTGAGGAGCAGCTGCTCCTCCTGTGAGTTTTACAGTGAGGTGGCAGACACGTGATACGTCATCTTAGGAGCGCAGGGTTTGGTCACTGATTTTCAAAAAACATTTTCACATAGAAAAAAAGTTCTTGCTTCAACCTGATACAAACGGCAGTACCGCTAATGGGCACTATACTTTAGTTCAAATACTCCTACAGGAAAACGCACCGATCCAGCTAGCCAAGAAAAACAGGAGACAGACTGACTGTCGGATCAGTTCTGTCTACCACTAGAGGGAGTGCTGGTAGAATTTACAATTCACCCGGTCACTTTAGTGTTGATATTCTGTACATACTGTTTACAGTATGCATAAATACTTTGCAGTATTCTAGAATATATTTTAATGCACTGTTGCAACTTTTAGTTGACCACAGAAAAAAAGCGACATACGATTGTAGGCGGTTTAACTTCCCCCTCCTTCAGGCAGAGGGCGAAGTTACAGACATGTGATCAGACACAGACGTGTTTCCAGGGGGTACAGCCATGGCAACCTGAAGAACAAGAGTATTCCTGCACAATGACAAACATCTTGGCCACAGAAATAGCCCTCTGGATGAGCAACAGGTGGTGGTGGTGGGGTGGTGGGGGGCAGGAGAGGGGGTGGTTACAGAGCCCTCTAGCCCTGCACATGTGATAATACATAACACTGAGACGTGTACGAGTGAGCAACCCTAACCCTAACCATAACCATAACCCATGTGAGAGAAGAAGTTGCCTCCTCCAGTGACTTTTCTGCAGATTAAAAAAAAAACCAAAAATCATAAAATATATTGACCTTTTAGTTTCAATTTACTCCATGTGTCCCAGGGTAAATAATGGATCTGTTTAGTTGAACACAACGGTATTATCAGTGCAGGAATTGAAGAAAGACACACACAAAGATCCTCTTTAACGGCTCACTCTCTTTTTTTTTTGGCTTTTATAGTCATTTATTTCACATGTTCAAAAAGCCAAAAAGATCTTTTTCTACAGTACATCTAACGTGCCTCGCCCCAGTGGTTGGGAAGCACCTTTCTAGGTCGTTGTGTTTTACCGTGGTCTCCATATTAGGTATGTAACCATTTAGTCAAACAGTAGCAGCAAAGTAATGTGCAGGAAAATACACGCACAAGCAAAAGGTTGTTACTTTCCTCTCTTTGTTTGGTGTTTCTAAAAAAAAAAAAATACAGACAGGAGTCGAGCTACACTCTCTGGGTTTGAGTCGCGGGTCACGTCACAAACCTCCAGAGTCAAACTGACTGGACTGAGCTGTGAAATCTGCTGTCGCTGAGGTGTGTTTGCTCAACGGTTAAAACAAGGGGCAGATCAGAACTTCACCACGTGGTGTCAGTGGGGTTAATGACCGTGCCTTACAGCAAGAAAATCATTGGTTCGAGCCCTGTGTGTGCGTGTACTCCCAGGTACTCTGAATATAATTCTTCTAATGATATTTGAAGTACACTGAGAGCAGCAAAAATAATGGTAATATTTATTATTTTTTTAATGTGACAATTGTAGTTGTTTTTTAATTCACACATGTGGTCAATTTAAATCGAACAACAACAAAAAAACTAATTTAATTTAATTAGTTTGAACTGACATCGTTCATTTTTCGTCTAGATTTTTCTTTTAATAAAGTCGAATACAGTTTGATTACCAGTAATGTTATTTTAGGTACTTTTTAATTTAAATTTTTTTATGTAGATTTATGTCAATAAGACGTCGTATCTGAATTCTTTTTGTAAGTAGGTGTGTGCGGGTGTGTGTCGGCGGTCCAATCCTTTTTCACTCGCGTCAACGGAATCCCGCAGTGCGTCATCCAATGACAGTTCAGCCAACGACGGGCTCCGATTGGCTGGAGGCGAGAAATCTCCTCGCCTACCGCCCGCCCTTGTTTGGAAACCTGTAACTGACGTCATGGGCAGTGTGGAGCTGCCGGTATAAAGTCGCAGAGAGCGGAACGCGGCGGCGCTCCACGGTTAGAGAACAGTGAAGCTGACAGACTCGGTTCAGACACTGACACCCGGCGCTGAGAGGTAAGAAGAAATTACTTTAAATGTATTAATAAAAAAGACAATACAAATTAAATTACGTCAGCGCGTGTCGTCACACGGGCACCTGTCGTAGCCGCTGTTGTGCTAACAGGGTAACACAGTAGCTCGTTCAAGTCAAAACAAACAGTTCGAATACAGTAATATACTGTAAAAAAAAGAAAGAAGTTAAAAAAAGAGTTGCGTTTTGACATTAATTTCAAATAATGCAGAACGGAAACTAACATGCGTTTTATTTGGCAGTTTGTTTTTGGACAGTTTTACTTTAAAGTTTAAAACTTAAAACCACGATATGGAGCTTTGAATTGAATGTAAAATGTTCCTGTAAAAGAACAGCGGTGAAAAAAGCTTTGAGGAAAATTCAGTGTATTAACAATCAAACAAATGATACAAGGTAGTGTTAGAGTCTAAATGATATTGTTTAGTTGCTGTTGTTGAAGCTGGTAGTTATATTTGGTTTGTGGGGAGGATTGTTGTTATTTCAGCGACATCATTCTAAATTTTCTGTGAACAAAAATACAGTTTTTGTAGAAATTTGATTTGTCTTCACTGGAACAGTTCTCCTGTGAAGTAACACTGTTACGGTTCTTGGAACTACATGGAGAACTGTTCTCTAACGTTCTTCACCAGACCTCTTGTTTGTTTCCATTATTAAATCTGTGGTTGATGTCATCATCATCATCATCATCATCATCACCTGCTTAATTAATTGCAGGAATCATTCTAAACCATAAAACTTGGCGAGGTGGTTCAATGTGTCTTAATGAGTTGTTATTAACCATAAAACTTGGCGAGGTGGTTCAACGTGTCTTAATGAATTGTTATTAAAACATCTGTCTTAGAACTTTTTGACTTGGCCTTGCTGCGATCAGAAATATATTGGAGGACGATAAATGGTTTTTAAATATATTTTATAAAAAGGTTATATAACAAGTTGCAGTTAGTTGAAGTCAAATGAAGTATTTTTTATTTTTATTTTTGACTGCCAGTCTAGGACGTCCTAACTTTTGTACTTCCTCTGTTTCAGTCTTGCAGCCATGACTTGTGTTCACCCCCAACATGGATCTCAGCTCTACGACAACAGCCTGGGCAGCTCGGAGCCCCCCAGCACAGACCTCATATCTAGACTGTCAGTTGATAAACATGACCACGTCTTCACCCCCGCCCTGCCCAGCATCAGCTCTCTGGTGGGCGGTCAGGGGGAGGACAGTGACGCATACTCTTGCCAGTTCACCGCAGCCCCCGCCCACGTTCCTCCACCATCAGGCCAGGAGGCCGCCCTCACGCTTGATGCTGTGCAGGTTTATGGCTGCTACCCTGGTCCACTGATGCTGGGCTACTCCGAGGAGCTGATGTCCCCCTGTGGCTCCGAATATTTCGGCAGCTCCACATCGACCTCGGCTCCTTCAACCCCCGGGTTCCAGAGCCAGCACGCGTCCTCCTGGGACTTGGCCTTTGGTCCGTACTCCCCCAGCCCAGGATACTGGTCTGCCGAGGACACGCTGGTGCCACACACCCCGTCTTTCTTCACATTTGGCCCAGGATCTCTGGAGGACGTGGGTCAAACACCGCTGCGAGACCAGGAGCCTTTCACGCTGGCCCACCCTCACTCTTCTGCGCCGACCTTCTCTGCTCTGTCAGTGGATCAGGGCTGCAGCCTGGAGGACACGGACCAGGCTGACGAAAGCTTATCGCCCAAGTTGAAGAGCCCAGGTGGAAGCGAGGGCTGCTGCGCCGTGTGTGGAGACAACGCATCCTGTCAGCACTACGGGGTTCGCACCTGTGAGGGATGCAAGGGCTTCTTCAAGGTAAGAGAATCTGTTTCAGGGAGAAAAAAAAAAGGTGTCATTTGTCATAAATGGTATCAGTTGACAACAGCTGTATTTGACAGCATATTATCTGACAATAGTAACATGTGTATATATATTTTATATATTTATATATGTATTTATATATATTTATGTATCTATATGTGTATATATATTTCTATTCATGCATGTATTACGTGTGTGTTTACATATCTAAACATATACGTATATATCTATTATATATACATTTATATATATATTTATATATATGTATTTCATTCCTAAGGTTATCCTTACAAGTAATTCCTCTCTCTTTTCCAGCGCACGGTGCAGAAAAACTCCAAGTATGTCTGCCTGGCCAATAAGGACTGTCCCGTGGACAAGAGAAGACGAAACCGCTGCCAGTTCTGCCGTTTCCAGAAGTGTCTTGCTGTAGGCATGGTCAGGGAAGGTGAGGTCACTTAAATACCCCACAGCAGTCAATGTAAAAAAAAAAAAACAATCCAATTGTGATACAGAGGAAATGAAATTGATTATGATTTGTCGACCAATCCAGTTGTGAGAACAGACAGTCTGAAAGGACGTCGAGGCCGTCTGCCCTCCAAGCCTAAATCAGTGAAGGAGGTGACGGCGGTCATGTCTCCCGTCAGCATGATCGCCTCCCTGGTCAGAGCGCACATCGACTCAAACCCAGACATTGGAAAACTGGATTACTCCAAGGTAGGAGAAGGTCCGAGGAAGGCACCGATTCCCACTGCTCCTTCGGGCTCCGTGGTCTGAACGTCTTTGTTTTTTTAATTTCAGTACAATGATTCAGTCATCAGTCAGAAGCAGAAGGAGGATGAGAGTGACATCAAACAGTTTTATCACCTTCTCACGACCTCCATGGAAGTTATCCAGAAATGGTCGCAGAGCATCCCGGGTTTCAGTGACTTCTGCTCAGAAGACCAGGATCTGCTGCTGGAGTCTGCCTTCGTGGAGCTCTTCAGCCTGCGCCTGGCGTATCGGTATGTTGTTTGCATTTTAAGCGCAAAATAGTTTTTGTATTTGTGTGTATATATATATAAAATACTATATTATAATATATTTTCTCAAGTGGAACAGAGTATAAAAAGTTTGAGAACCACTGTTCTAAAGTAAAAATACTATAGTACTACAATATTTTGTCCCGTACTACAATCAGATCTTTTTCCTTTTTTTTTTAATACCAAAGGTCCAGTCCTGAAACAGACAAGCTCATCTTCTGCAACGGGTCAGTGCTTCACAAACACCAGTGCGTCCGAGGTTTTGGGGATTGGATCGACTCCATCTTGGAGTTCTCTCGAAGTCTGCACCGCATGAAGCTTGATGTTTCGTCCTTCTCCTGTCTCACAGCTCTGGTCATCATCACAGGTTAGAGGCGACTCTCATGTCGGGCTAAAACTGTTCCATTTTATATACAGTATATTCACCATAGAAATGTGGGTCTGGTCCTCACTGGTACAGACAGGACTGTGGCTCAACATAACGCTAGATTGACACACCAGGTGTACAGCAACATGCACGTAGGCACGTACAGTAGTAGAGTGGAAATACAGTACTCTCAGGCTGTATGTCACTGCAGGCTAAACATAACCACAATACTGCTTCATATTGTTCCAGTGCAGTAATATAAATAATGTCTGACACGTTATATATTTTCTTTAAAGATTTCGTCAGGTTTTATGCCTTATACAAATGTTTTAAATAAATAAATCTAATGATTTAATACTTTTACAGTATATGTTTCTATTATTATTATTATTATATTTTTGTTATTCTGTGTTAAATGTATTAACAGTGAAGCCCTAAACACTGACTCGTTGGACTGTAGTTCACCAGGGTTCTTTTAATGCGGGTTATAAATCCGTTATGTTTCTTACAACTGGCAAGAGCCAATCAGAGGTCCGTTTGTTGCCTAGTGGGCGGGACATTAGCGGATATCCAATCAATGCGACTTTGTTTCCGGTACTAGCATAATGAAGCTAGGAGCGGGAATAGTCTGGTCAATTTGTGAAAAAACGTCAACAGAAAATGTTAATTTAAATTCCTGAAAAATCTGTAGACACGGTTTACTTAACGTAAGAGGTGGAAAAAAGACCGAGAGAAAGCGTTAGGAACGACCGTTTAATATTGGGGTGGGTGGGACGCGTGGTCACCATGCCATGGTAAAAACCAAAATGAAGTGAGGTAAAACTGTCATCTGAATGACACGTGGACTTGTTTCCTCTGCAGATAGACACGGCCTGAAGGAGTCCAGGCGTGTTGAGGATTTGCAGAATCAGCTCATCACCTGCCTCAAGGACCACGTCTCTGGCTGCGGCTCCGACTCTTTGAGACCCAACTATCTGTCTCGGCTTCTGGGGAAGCTCCCTGAGCTCAGGACTCTGTGCACTCAGGGTCTCCAGCGGATCTTCTACCTTAAACTGGAAGACTTGGTTCCCCCGCCACCGATCGTGGAAAAAATATTCATGGGTTCCCTGCCGTTCTAAGACCGACAGGAGCAATTCCTCCATCTGGTGTTGGGTGTTTTTGTGCCACCGGGGGTAGCAGACTGACTGTACTTTACATTGAGTGGAGTGTCAGTGCAACAGACCCCTGTGGGATTACCCAGTGGTGCAGAGATCTGAGAGCGCCTCTACAGGACAGTGGTGCGAATGACGATCTCATTTAATGTGTTTCTAAGAAAAACAGGAACTCGTTATTTAGAACCAGAAGGGCCAGATCATGGACCAAATGGTGACTGTTTACATTCAACACGGTGCCTTGAACAGAAACCTCGCTGTTTGATGGAAGACGTTTGCACTTTTCTCAACCACAGAGCGGTTGTGACTCTGCACACGTACGTTGCAGACGTAGAGTTTTCCCTTTTTCTGGTATCGTTTCGCGTAATTGTAAACTGCCATTGAAATGATACATTAGTGGGAGTCCTTCACCATGTACGGTGTTCCCTCTCTATATCGCGGTTCTCCTTTCGCTCCCTCAGTACTGTACATCGGAGATTTTTATTTTTGAATCCGATCTTTCTTTTGGAGGGGCTTTTGAAAATGAGAAGTGCATTTACGAACGATCGCTGGTAGCTTTGTTTATCTAGACGAGATTGTACACAGCATACTATTGGCTAATACAATGTGTACTCGGTGTACTATTGGCTAATTGAGCGTGCTCTTCTGTTCCTCATGCTGATTGGCTCATGCGTCACAGCATCTCTCAGCACCTCCCCTTTTCTGTCGGCCGCTCTCTCGTTCACTTCGCTCTGCGCCGCCGTTCTACAACTCTACTGTGAATATAGTTCTGTAGGGAAGTAATACAGTGTATGGAGGGTTGATACCAGTGTGGGTAAATATAATATAATAACTATCTCGACTAAACTTTGCAAAATTTTTTTTTCCATTTTACGGTGGGTCTTCGTACGCAACAACTGCGATAGGAGAGGGATTACTGTAATGCACTTTCAGAGAATCTTTCCAAAGTACATTTTATGTAGAGTGAAAACATGCACATCAATTCACTTTCATATATTTTCAGTAACTGGTCAGTTTGACAGATTACAAATTATTTAGCCGCATCATTCCTGTATCGTGAATAAACGGTGAGCAGCTAAAACGGTGACATTTTATACACTCTATATTCTCTTTATACAGTCTATTATGAGCCTGTACTTCGACAGCTTGGTGAACCAGATGTTTCGTCTCTGGTTCATAGTTTTTACATAATACGTTTTAGTAACCGCAGTATGACACATTAAAATGTGAAGCCGCTTTTCGCGTCAGCTCTTCCTGGCTGTGCTTTGATATTCTGGAGAAGACAGAATATATGGTGCTGGACTTTCTTTTTTTTTTAACAATAATTATGCATGTTTTATGCACGTCTGTTGTTCAGGAAAGGACGGGAAAAGATAAGGGAATAATGTAGAACAACAGGATGGGATTATATAGAATCAGAGCAAAATAGATAAGATACAATACAAAGATCAGATATGCCAAGAGAAGAACACTTTTATATACAGTGTATATATATAAAGTATTTCCAAACCACTTTTATTTAGAGCTGTCGTTTCAAAGTCCCGACCCAGTGGTCACTTCCGTCCTACACACCCGCGCCTCCACGTCCAGCCTGCAGCAAAATGTCTATGATAGTTTCATTTAGCTAACGTTAGCTCTGGTGTCTGCACCAGGACTGTTGTAGCTATTATTAGCCGTGGTGTCTGCACCAGAACGTTTGTAGCTAACATTACCCATAAAGTCTGCACTGTTACAATTAAAGTTGTTTAATAAAAAACATTTTAAAGACAAAAGTGATAATATATTTTTTATAATATAATACCTTTCACTTTAAGTATATGTCTGTCTACAGTTTGCTGTTGTGTGGCAGCAGTCGGAGTCTAGTGCGAGAACGTCTGTTGGCATTAGAACAGAAAATACTCCTCAAAAATGTCACCTCTGGTTCAACTCCCTCCTAGTTATGTACCAGTCTTGTTTTAGAAGCCGGCAGGATTCCCGGTCCAGTCTCAAGTGACTACAGTCCACTTCATCATCCCACAACACCACATTCTCAGATGTATGCATTCGTCTCTGACAGCTTGAGGCCCATGGTACATAAAACCAGCGTGAGTCAGGGAGCGACGGGTTCGTTTGTGGACCATAGATTACATCGTCTGATTCAAGCTATTCCAGTCATTTGCGCTCGTCATGTTAGCTCTTGGCACAGTCTTCGTTTCATGTAACTAATTACAGAGACAAACATAAAGCGCCTTATCTTACACCTAATGCATAAACAGGAAGTGCAATGTGAGGCGCAGTTTCCTGTCCAATATCTCTGTCGCTAAACGCACACCCGCTGTGCTGAGCTACACGTGGACAGTACACGGTTACTCATCGGCAACAGAATACAAATGCAGATGACAAATATATTGTTTTGCCAATATGTATAATTGTGGTGTGTTTTTGTGGCTAGGGACTAAGGACTGTTGTAGCTAACGTTAGCTCAAGAGTCTGTGCTAGCAGCCACACGTCCTACATCAACATCCGACATTGTCGACTTGAAGATCTTTGGTGAGAAGAACAGTTCTCGTACTTCAAATCAGAAATCTGCTTCTCGTGCGCTGAGGTCAATTTATAAATTCTTTGCATCTTCTTTTTCCTAGTAAAGAAACTTTGGCTGCATGACTGCCACCTACTGGGCTGGAGTGTGTGTGCACCTGAGTTACTGATGTGCCAGAAATTCATAAAACTGAAACAGGTGAGAAATAAATATATTGTGTTTTTATTCACATTATTTCTGTGATTAACGAATCAGAATGGACTCAGTGTTGACCTAATGTTGTAGTTAACACTTTATTACCATCTCCCTCCCTCTGTGTACTCTACGATGTCACAGATTTAGAATCAGAATCAGGTTGATCACTTTACTGTGTGATCATTTTATCGCAGCTGACAGCGCTGCTGTGGCTGATCAGCAGGTTGTGTAGAGGAGGAGGAGGAGGAGGAGGAGGTGAAGGAGAGTCCGACTCGTCCTCCCTGACGACTTTACCCAGTTTTTTCCACCTCGGTCCTGTGTTCTCCCTCATCACCTCCAGTGAACATCCCACTGCAGCCGAGTCATTAGAAAACTCCTGAAGGTGACAGGTGTCGTTTATTAACCGTGTCTGGTTTCACCTACCTGAGCCCCCCCCCTCCACACACACACACACACATACAGAGGGCAACATTAGTGCACTCCAAATTTAGAAAAAAACCTGCCGTCTCGGTGGGTGGTGGAGTTCGTCTTCAGAATCTAATTGATAGGGTTGTAAATGTGTCGGGGATAGTCCTGGTCCGGCGCTGGTTTATTTATGTTTAATTTTAGGCTGTCTCAGACGGTATGTGGGACAGACTTTTCCAGGGTGTACTCTGCCACTGCTCAATGTCAGCTGGGATTGTCTCCAGCTCCCTCACCCACCGGCCCCCCTCTCCCCCAACACCTAAGTGGCATAGTTAACAAATGGATGGTAGCAACACGCTGGTGCCACGCTTCTCTTGAGTTACAGATTCTGAAATTGTCGGCTGGTGCTGCAATGTAACCTAATATCGGGATCTGAGCGCAGCAGTGCAGTGAGAACAGTCCGATAAAGCCAGCTTCACTTTGATTACAGCAGCCTCGGTATATCGAGGGCAGCGCCCGGAATCCAAAAATCCTGCCTCAGTGGAAACTTGGGAAAGTGCAGGCAGTGCGTCTGCGTCCAGGCAGAAATGCCGGCGATAATAAAGGATCACAGGCTTCACAGACTTAAAGGACTTAAAGAGGACGGCTTTAAAAGGAGCGGGCTGTGCCCTGCTCAGGTCTCATGTGAGAATATGAGAATGTCGCGGTTAGAAAACAAAACCCAACAACAGAGGCTTCATTTACAGGAGTCAAGTCTGAGGTCAATCATTCAGACAGACCGGTGGTCCCCAACCCCCGGTCCAGGACCTGGTGCCGGACTGTGGGTCATGTGGTTTTACTAATTTACTTCATCCCAAAAGGATTCTAGTCTTATTTATTTACTTTTTTTATTATTCAGACTAATTTACTTCATCCCAAAAGGATTCCAGTCTTATTTATTTACTTTTTTTTAATTCAAAGATAATCTGTCAATGTTACAAAATAAAAGGTCATACAGACTCTGATACTAATTCCTATGATGTTTTATTTTGAAAAACGATGGCGTTTTATGGTGTTTTACTTTGAAAAACGATGGCGCGGTATTACCGGTCCGCAGAAATGGCAGATACCGGACGACCGGTGCTTGGTACAAACAACAACAAAAAAGCTTGGGGACCGCGGTTCCCTTGTATATTCTTTATTTTAGTGCCAGTTCATTTTAGGAACATCCTGAACTTCTCTTGAGAAACTTTTAAAATAATGTTCCTCTATAATTCACAGTGGAACATTAGTTCTAGGCGACAGCGGTGCCACCGGAACATTTGGACATCTGAGGGTGTCACACCAAAAACAGTCCCCCAGATGGGAAAAATATCCTGCATCACTGTCTTCCTCTGTCGTCCCTCTTTCTCCTTCATCGTTCTTTTCTATTTAAAGGCCCTAATGACCGCGCATATAATATACACAATACACGCAGTTAACGTTTTAATCTCGTTGCTGTTTGATGAAGATTAAACTGTTAAAAATGTTTTAAGACATTTTAACAAGTGAGGGGAAAGTATTTGCACACACAGTGATCTGCGGTTCATCACCATTTTCAACGTTTCTTGTTGTAACTTAAGCGCTGTGGGCTAAAACAAAAACCGAGTTAAGACTGACATCTTGTGGCAATTATGTGAAATACAACGTGTTGCTTTCTTCGACACTTCCAAAAGAACTTTTAAAGAATCAGTCGCCTACCTGTGGTAATCTGTAGCTATCGATTTATCATATCCACCTCGGGTTTTGTTTGTTTTAAAATATCTGTGCTTATAAAAAACATTATTAAATTTAATTTAAAAATATGATAAAGTTTAGTCAACGCTGGTCTAAGCTGTCAGCCTTTGTTTAAAGAAACGAAACCTTGGACTATGGAATAATGTACATTTATTCCCTTTTATTTCAGCTGAACTGCAAGTAACACAATTTAATACACAACAGATAAACTTTTTTTTTTAGTAAAAAAACAAAAAAAAAGTTTTATTCCAGTCTCCAGGTTCCAAACAATAGCATTACTTCAGCAGTAAGAACAGGTCAGGGGTATGGGTTTTAACCTTGAGAGACTTAAAAATATCTGGGTACAAACAAAATTAAAAACTGAGTTGTTCAAACATGACCCCAACAGTTCTACAAAAGACGAACCGAATCCCAGCCGTGAGGTACAATTTAAGAACAGATTTAAAAGGAGAACTTTGGCTTCAAAACCATGGGAGGGTGTTGGGGGCTCGAAAACTAGGACCGAGGTTGTTGGTTGGAGGGACATCCTGTCTGTGGAAAAAGAAAACGTGTTAAAAATGAACGAAATGAGTCAAAGTCAGGATGGAGATGGAAAGTGTCGCTCACTTCACAGTCAAGGAGCTGCTTCGACCCCAGATAAATGGGGAGGCGTTGTGGTCAGTTTCTGCAGAAGAAAAAAAAAAAAAACAAAATTAGTTCAAAACACAAAATCTGGTTAAATACTCATGACCAAAAATATAATAATTATCTCACCTGACTCCCAGTCTTCAGTCACGTTAGGGTTCACCCAGGTACTGACAGGGACGTGCCATTTATTATCACCACTGACATCACCTGCTGAAGGACAGTTAGGATATAATCAGGAACAGTCTACAGACACACACACACACACGGGGAGAACAGAGAGTAAAGAAGAAAAAACCCACCGCTGCCAGAGTCCACGACCACCCGGTCCACACACGTCTCAGTGTGGTGACTGAGCTCGTGCTTGGGCACCAGGTGGCAGGCGTTGAAGGGGCAGGTCTTCAGCTCACTGGCCAGTTTGGGGTGATTCTGGGTTCAATCATATATGAAACGTTGCACGTCATCCCAAAACTAAACTTAAATATTATTGAATTTCATCATTTCTGATAAATCTGCTATATAAACTCAGACGTAATGTAGACAAAAAGTTGACATCAGACAGAAACAGAATAATAATGATATGAATTGTGTCTTGAATTTATTATTGTTCATTTTTAAATGTATGTGTCAGCTGAGAAACTGACAAACTCCAGACTGACAATATTATAAAGTCAAGACCAGTTAATCCATCAACATTAATCAATCCTTCACTCACCTTCCTGCACTTAATAAGGTGGTAAGGGAAGCGGCAAGACCTGATCTGATGATTTTTGTCGAAAGGACACTGCAGAAGTCTGTCAGGGTCCAGATTTCCTTTATCATCTGGAGAAAAAGAAACAAAAGCTAAGAACAACAACAACGGCCACCATTTTGACAAATCGGTGTCACAAAATGAGTTCTGAGTGTAAAACACAGTGTGGAATAAAGCAGATGAAAGATGCGTCTCCAGAACAAATTTACCAAACTCCGGTGCCACCTCTGCTCTTCCAGAAGTTGCAGTCCTGCAGGCACTGGTGGAGCTTCCAAAGCTTAACATGGAGGCCATGTTTGGAAAAACGCTCTGCTGCTGAGCCGAAGGTTCAGATGAGGTCAGGCTAGAATGCAGAGATAAAACCAAAAGCTGCAGCGTGTTATTAATCACGGCCTAACGATTTGGTTGGTTAGTTAGTGATGTGGATGCCGTTTACTCAGTACAACCAGGTGTATTTACACGGTAAGTTGGAGGCTCCAATTAGACAAAACAAACAACAACAACAACAACAAAAAGAACACAAAGACATTTAAACTAGTTTTAAGACGTCCATACTTTTAAAGCACAAGATTTAACGCGGAGAAAAGCGAATACAAACTCGATCCGTTTTAAAAGATGGCGACGTGCCAAACTGTAAAAACTTAAAAGTAACGTTTTCAGCATTCTTTCTTCTTTTTAAAAAAAATTTACTCGTTCTTTTCTAATCTAGTTAAACCAGTCTTCACATTGATACCGGGAAAAAAAAATTGCTGAATCAAAACTAAAAACTTTGTCTGAACCTTTGTTGGTTGTAGTCTCCTGGGAGAGCTGGACGGACGAAGCAACTGCGACGCATCCCATGTACTTCACGTCGTGGTCCGGTCGAATTTCCTGTTTAGCCCTTCTTCACCTTCATTCTAACACTGTTTAGCCCTTCTTCACCTTCATTCTTCCATTTTCTTTTTTCTTTTTTCTTTTGTTATCGTACGAGTAAGAACGACACCTTTAACCGACACATTTCTTTAAGAATATTACACATTTACATGTGTTTAATGTGTGTTTATATGTGTGAATATGTAACTATATATGGATTTATCATCTGTCATTACGGTAATTAAGCGGTTTGCGTTTGGCCGTATATCAGCGCCATTACGGTAGCTCGCTGGTGCTTCAAACATGGCGGTGTCCAGTTTGAGCCATTGCGGCCGCTTGTCTTGGGTCAGACTGCTCGGCCTCAGGACAAATTGTCCTCCAACGGCGTGTCTTTATTATCCGTATGTCCACTGTCAGCCAAGGTAAGTTTAAACGTGTTGTACATGAAAGGTTAGTTCTTTATTGTCATGTTACGTTGAAGTCATGCTAAGCTAACGTGCTGTCAGTACTGGGTGTCCCCGGTTTTACTTTTAATTTAAAGACGTATTTCATAAATAAAAGCTGTAAATGATGTTTTGGCCGTGTCGGTATCATTATAGAACTTCTGTTTGTATTTTTGATAGGCTTTAAATCGGTTTAAATGCATTATGACTGTGATATATATATATATTGACCTATAACTAGTAAATAGTGACATGTTCGTCATAGATGACGACACGTCAATATTGTGATTAAGACGACAACTATTACGGTCAACAGACATGAAAAATATGTGGTAAAAAATAGTTTGGAGTACTGCAGATACTTTTAGTGTTGTGGTGATAATATCCTACTACATCCCTTAATTTCTTAATTAATTTAATCTCATTTACTCGAATTTATTACGTTTGAATATGAGGGAACTACTGTCCAGGGTGAACCCCGCCCTCTGTCGTTGATAGCTGGGGTTAGTCCCGCGACCTGGCAAAGTGATAAGCGATGGATATTCATGAACTTTCTCTATTTACAAATACACGATATGCACCGCGCGTTCGTCTCCGGTGAGTGGTGCTATTTAGTCATGTAAAAATACCATCTTGCAGAAGTTAGCGAAAGTGGAAAAACAACAAAACAGCTTTTGTTTTGTATTTAATGCTTTATTTTATTTTTATTTTTTGCAGGTTGCCGCTGTGTAGACTTTACTCATCCACGGAGGTCAGACGAGGTCTTGGTCGATACGTGACCTCAAGGCTACAGTGGGCAAATAGCAAATATGAAGCCTTTCTCAAAAGGAGATTTCCTCGTTTTTATCAGCTTTACCATACCTTTGTGGAAGGTGAACACATTTGTTTGTATTCTATTCTATTATAATTATTAATTATAAATGTGATCCAGGTCAATTGTCTTTAATGTCATCGTCGTTCACTCTTGCAGGATTCAAACTGTTGTTCAGTGATATCAAAGAGGTGAGGAGGATCAAAACAAAAATGTACTCTGGAGGAGTAGAATTCCGCAACTTGCCCTACAGGGAGATGGAGAAACTCAGACAGGTGGGTGTGCACTGAAGCACACTGTAATACTAAATTATAATTGTTATTTTATTATATACTGTAGCTGTTAAAAGCAACTTTTAACTTGAAGACAATGATTTTATTTAGAAATTTATATTTTGACCTGTAACAATTTTCCATATCTTTATCCCTTTCATAAAACAATCATAATGGTTGATAAATGATATGATTTATTCATAGTTTTTTTTTTCTCCTCCCAGTTTCGCAGGAACATGATCAAAGCCATCCCCCTAGTGGTGATCTCAGCCCCTCCCTTTGCCAACTATCTGGTTTTTGTCATGATGTGAGTCACCCAAACATTTAACAGTGAATTCATTTGAGTTCCTCTCCTGCTAACATGGTAACATAGCATAGCACTCACCATTTTACATTGTCCATAATCTCCCATCATGCCCGTGTGCTCTCCCGTTCTCAGGTATTTTTTTCCACGCCAGCTTCTCATCCCTCACTTTTGGACTCCTAAGCAGCACTTAGAGTTTCGAGCACTGTATAATTCCCTGAGGGCCCAACACCACAGACCAGTACTAACCGAGCTCGAGCGCTCCAGCGTCCTGATCAAAAATGCTCCGCTAATGAGCCGCCTGAAAGACCTCTGTGTGAAAGTAAGAAAAGGTCACAGTTTGGGGATTTTTGGGGGGGTTGATGATAAATATGGCAGTGTCCATGTTGTCAACACTTTGTCCAACATTTTTACTTCTGCTCAATAAATAATAGTTTAAGTTTAATTTTAACCTAAAATTTGTATAAATTTTATAAGGTTACTAAATCATATTCTTAAAAAAGTACTTTTTATAAATAATAATTTAAAATTACACTTCATGGCTTTTGTATAAATTTTATAAGGTTACTAAATTATATTCTAAAAATTACACGTCATGGCTGATAAACATGTATCCTCATCAATATGCATTAGTATTATTTGCAGTTTCACAGTGATCTGGACTTTTTTCTCTAATGTTCAGCACCAATATACTCCATGGTACTCGTAGCTTGGTGTACAGCGCCACCACTGGCCATCATATTTTTCTTTTTCGTCTTTTAATTAAAATCCAGTTACATCCTTAATAATTAATAAATGATCATCTCTCCCTGTGACACTGAGTTAACGCAGTACCCATTCGCACCACACGGGGGCGAGTTTTGCCAGCTTTGATTCAACTGACCATCACGTCATCCAATACTTTTGATCGTTTTCCACACAAACTGTGACACAGGGCACGTACAGTCGACACTCCTGAATATTTTTGTTGGTTTTCTTTCCAGTCACTACAGTTGCTAAATGTGTGGTCACAAAAAGATGAGAAGTACTTTGTCAGACAAGATGTGATACATGATGGGCAAAAAGGGAGTAAAGGCCAGGGAGGAGAGGAGAAGGGAGGGAGAGAGGGAGGAAATGAGGAGGGAGAGAGGAGCCGTCATCAACAGCAGTGTTTGATCACATATGTGTCAGACGAGATGGAGTTAGTTTTTAAGTCAATATTGAAGTGTTGGATTAAGGTCTGTAAAAGTCGCAGTAAATACACGTAGGGAGTATTTATGAAGACGATAACATTTGTATTATGAATGTTACCTTATCTGAATTCATCATTTTTAATAATAAGTCACCTATTCCACTAAATTTGTGCAGTGTGACCGTTTGCAATGACACAGACTGCCACAGGAGGCGCCACTGAGTAGGCAGGCACTGCCACAGGAGGCGCCATTGAGTACGCAGGTGTTCTAACCACAACACTATGGAACTACTATAGATTAATAATGTTTATTATGATCCCAATTAATCACCACGAGTGTTAATTAATCTACTGCTGCTCTGTTTTATTGTTAACCTAAAGAGTGAAACGTTAACATTTTTCAGGTCCAGGGCGGAGCTAACCCCAAAGTGTCTGAGGTCCTCGCTGTCCGGACCCTGTTCTCTGGACCTCCTCTGGTCCTGGAGCGTTTGGGTTTGGAACACATGGTCAGTCTGTTCTGTTAGTTTTCACTCTGTACACACTGCTCTAGAAAGTGGATTCTTATTTTTTTTGTTTTTGAGGAACTTGAACATTACAACATTTCTGTCTGTCTTCACCGCGATGAATCAGCGACACATCAGCCATTTGCTCTTCCTGACGCCACGCCTCCCTGGTTTCCTGATCCGTCGTAGACTGAACAGGCACGCCCTGGAGCTGCTGCAGCTGGACCGGGCCCTCAGCAGGCTGGGCATGCACCAGCTCAGTGACTCTGAGCTCAGGCAGGTTGGTCACTCCGGGTCGTTCAGATGAACAGCACAAACAAAAATAAAAACTTTACCTATAACTGTACGTACGTGAAAAATCCAACACCGATCCTAAAGCTGAACTCCTCGTAGGCCTGTTACGTGAGAGGCCTGGGTGCTGATCAGCTGAGTGTGGACCAGTGTCGGGCCTGGTTGTCTCAGTGGCTGCAGATATCGTCCGCCCTGAAAGGTGAATCTTCTTCGTATTGACAGTGGAATTATTGGACAGGAAGCTGTGATTATTTTAAATGTCGTCGTTCTATATTTCTAACAAAAGTTTCTGTTCTTTCAGACTCTGAGGTGTCGCTGATTTTGCACAACATGGTTTTCCTCTCTGCCAACTACCCGCGTGCTCTCGGGCATTCACACTGACGAGGAACCAGAAGAACCCCATCTTGTAATTCCGTTTACTTTCGTACACACAAAAAACACAACTTTATTATTTCTTCTTCTTCTTTTGCCAAAAATTGTCTTTACTTTAAAAACTGTAGTCATAACTTCAGCGAGGGCGACACCTACTGGTGTAGTTTAGTCTCAAATCCTTGTTGACTGACATGTAAAGATGACAGCGTCTCTGACACTTTAAGCTACACACACACATGAAGAAGCTCCAGAAGGACAGCAGAGCCACATGTATTATTTTTTGGACGTTCAGCGTCAGCGTTCTCCAGCATTCCATTCACAACAGTCAGGATTATTCTGGGATATTTCAGTGTCAAACTTCTACAAACTTCCTCTGCTCAGCTCTGTTGTCATTTTACCTCAGTTTGTGGTTTTTTTTTTTAGATGAAGTTGTGCTGGTCATGATGAAATTGTAGATAAACCAGAAAAGGGATTTAAAAAAACAGAAGTTGTTTGAGCTTAAAAAAAAAAAAGAACTCATACTCACTGCCTCTGACACATCAAAAGAATTAGCACTTTGTTTACTGCATGGTGTTCAGGCTACAAGCTGCACTAGAATTAAATTTAAAATAAAAAATAAAAAAAACCACACCAGTGCACAATTGGTTAAAGTTTCAGCAACTGTAAGTTTGTCTTTGTAAACAGGACATCACAGCCCCACCCACTGGTTTCTGTTTGAAGTGACGTGTTGTTTGCCTCATGTTCTTCTTCCACAGACATGTTTGAGTTGATGCTTTTTTCTTTTAAAGAAATATTTAATGTTGTTTGAAGTTGTCCATGTCGTGTTGCACTGCGGATATAATATAAAGTATGGAGAACTGTGTCTGAATTAAATATCAATTGGGATTTATTTGCCGTTGGCTTCATGTTTTCCTACATTTACAGCAAAGTCACGAGTAATTCAACGACAGGAAACAACAGCAAATTATTATCGTAAAGCCAAGAAAGTCTCTAGAGTAAAGATGTACATGCAGTAAATGAGAAATGTTCACAGCTATCAGTGAAGAAGAATAACACGTGAACAGAACTCAGTGGGAGTAGAAGGCACTTTTCAGCTCTTCTTAAATCAAACAAACTGGTAATTCTTAAGAATCTGATTTACCTTAAAAAAGAAAAACATTAACGTCAAAACTGTGATCTTGATTAAAAACAAATAACTCTAATGTAACGTTCACCAAACATTTAAAGTCATTTGTGATTTTCTAAAACAAATCAATTCATCATCTGCATATAGGCAGATCCTGAAGCTACAGTAGAATCTGGTTCAACTGACAGGAAGTATTCATCTCGTTAAAGGCACAGGTATTTAATTTGGTATAAAAGGTGTGATTTGGCGCCACCCCGTCACTGAACGTAAACGGAGTGTAAATGCAGTTTAATTTGAAACGATCAGACTTTAACGGTCAGTTGAGGAAAATGAATGTTAAATGTTGACATATTTATTTTTAGAAAAGTCATTGCGGAGCAGATAGCTAAGTCATAGCTACGTCATTTTTTATATAAGAGTCTATGACGGGAACAGACAGAGCAGTGAAGTAGAATTAGAATTCCTCCGAACCAACCAGGTGAACGTGTCTTCTCTAACGATTCTTATTCCTAAATATACACAATAGCAGAGCCTAGAATTCAGTCAACTATGAAAATACAAACCAAAAGTTTTTGATGAGGGAAAAAAGAAATTGTTCTGTGTTTAACTGGAATTGCACGATGAGCTAATTTAACAATCTTAAATAAAGCTAGCTCGCGGCGAGCATGCCCTGTGTAGCCCGCTCCTTGTTGGTTGAAGACTGATCACATGACTTCGTAGCCACTGCGGATGCCTCTCATTAACAAGCAGGCGAAAACCAAGCCCGAAATCTGAATGAAAAAAACAAAAAAAAAAGAACAGGACTTAGAACTTGTTATCCAGCCGTTTATTTTTTAAATTAAAATAATACAATAATATTAGTTCTAATAAATTTGATAATATCAAATCTTCATGATTAATTAAATTTGTTGTGTTGAAACTAATGACCCTTTTTTTCCTCCTTGTAAATAAAGCAGACCTGACACAGCGTCGTCCTCCAAAACAGGAAAACACATCCAGAATAAATAGACGTTAGCTAGCATTAGCTACTTTTAGCTCGTGTGGCTAATAGCCCTGGACGGCTAATTGTAAGAACTGTGCAGCATCTGTGGGTCAATCTACAGGTTTGAACTACATTATCAACCGACAGAAATAAACCTGTAACAAAGTAACGACGTATCAAAAAAAATATTTAGGTTTAAATTTGAACGTATGAACAGAGGAGGTCTGAAGACAAAAGTCTGCTTCATGAATGTACCTGCACGGGTACCGTTCAAACCCTGTGACCCAGTCTAACACACACACACACACACACACACAGAGGTGTATTTACTGTACTGTTTAAACATGGGCGTTGGATGGGAAACAACGACTGTGTGATCAGCTGATCCTCATCACAGCACAGCTTTCTTTCTACAGGTCACATGTGTCCTGGACTCTGAACTGTACTCTGCCCCGTGGTCACACACACACACACACACACACACACGTTGAATTCTGATGAATTTGCTCACCTGAAGGAAGGCGATGACAACGGCGGCCACTATCACCCACAGAAGGTTTTTCTTCAGCGCCTCCTCCACTGCGTCATGACAACCCTGCACAGCAGAGACACAGTCACGGTCGGTTTTTTGGCACATGTTTAATGAAGTAGTTGTGGATGTACAGGTTGTGAACCCCATCACTATGGTTACCGAGTCGTTTGATGTTTCTGTTTAGGGTTTGTGTTTGTGTTGATGAGGTTTTTAGTTCATTCATTATTCAGTTAATGAATTAATCCATTTATTCATCTTTTTCAGGTGAGGACAGCTCTCTACTGGGTCACAGGGTCACTATAGAGAGACCATTCACACCACTATTCACACCCAGATTCACACCAACAGTGAGGGGAGCCATGAGATCAAGGAAAACTGAAGGTGAGCGTCGTCTCGGAGCACAAACCATCATTTCAGGAAAAACTGTTCCAGTGTAGAAAAGAAAAAGAGCAGCAGCAAAAAAAACAAACAAACAAACAAAAAAAAAAACAACGAAACTGAAAATAAACCACGACTATATTTAGTGACAAAACTGAGAAGTTAGTCTGTGTTTCTGGAGTTCACTGGTGGAGAAATGTGTTTTTGTAATCTGAAAACTCACAATAATGATGTAATGACAATAATGAGAGTGGGAATCTGCATGTGGTTTTAATTAACAGCCTGTGTTTACATGTAAATATATTTGCACGAGTGTGTGTGAGTGTGTGTGAGTGTGAGTGTGTGTCTCCACCCAAACCCCAGCTCTGGTGTAAGCTCCTCCTCCTCCTTCTTCTTCTTCTACTCTTTGAATTCAAGCCCAGGCCTGTTTATTATTTACCACAACATTCATCAGGTTATTTCTGGGAGCGGGGGGGCGGGCGGGGGGGGCAAATATTTAACCCAATGTTTTCTTATACTGATTTCACTCCAGGCGTGGCTCGACCAGATACTCAGGACTGGTATTGATGAGATATTGGTCAAAATGTCAGGGTCAAACATCAATTAAAACAACTGTAGCTCGTCTGGTCCGATACCTAACCCCAAATACTCAACTTAACGTAACGTGACTCGCCCTAAACAGAAACACTATCGTGAGCCTGTGGCTGGAGGAGCAGATACTCCAAGTTAAAGTATGTACAAATGGAGCCATCCTCAGTCTGAACCCTGTATTGGTGAAAATATGTTTTTTTCCGCTTAATGGCGCCGCCCTTGTGGCAGCCTGGTGGGTTGACTCACTCTGTGAATTTCCCCATTTTGGGACAATAAGGGATTTTTTTTTCTAAATCAGATTAGAGTTTTTTTCTTAACATTTTGGGACAATAAGGGATTTTTTTTAAATCAGATTAGAGTTTTTGACCAATTTTAGGCCGTGACGTGATTTTATGACGTTCCTCTGCTGTTGTTTGTGAGTTGATGCTGTGTAATCACAAATCATCAGGGACTGACAACCTTCATCACATGTTTACTGAGTGGTCATCACAGGCGTTAGTCACTGCGGCCTCACCTTCTGGTAGACTTTGTCAGGATCAGTCATGGTCATGTCTCCACACCCGGGGCTGGGTTTCAAACAGCAGGAGTCGGGCACTGATTTCCCGTCGTCCTTGAAGTTTCTCCAGTCGGAGGAGCTGTTCACGCCGCAGCACTTCAACTGAAAGTTCAAATGTGTAAGAATTAAAAACATGGGGGCGTGGACCTGCCGAGCCTCGATGAACACGGACCAACTTATGTCAACAGATAGATGGTAGGAAGGAAAGCATGTCCTGAGTCAACAGAAACACATGACACACCAGGATGCAGCCGTGTTACGTGAAGGTGGAGACAGACTGTGTAAACAGAGTGAGGCTCAACCTACGTCCAACTGCATCTTGTCCACGGTGTCCCTGAATTCTTCTGAGCTGGAGTTGTATTTGGTGATCATCTCAGTGAGGCTGTCCTGCACCACATCTGAGATCTGCGTGGAGAAAAGAGGGGGGCGGGCTCGGGGGGGTCAAAATCCTGCACGGTTTTCTAAAACGAAGACATCTGTGAATTTTTGCACCAACCTTGTTTCTGAAGATATATCCAGCGATGGCTGCAGCAAACTCAACGAGGATGATCAGACCCAGAAGGATGGCAAACTGCGGAGAAAAAAATCTGACGATCAACAACTATTATGGTGATAAAAGATGGGCAAAAAAAATAAAAAATTTAATTACCATTAATCTCAAAACTGAAGTTGAACAGAAAGTGAGCAGAGCTTTTGGTACCAATAGAACTATTTCAATTGAAAATACTGCCCCCTGCTGTCCCTTAAACACATCAGCACTAATACTGTGTAGAACTATTAAAATTGACTAAAATTAATGTTAGTTTAATACGCCTGAACAACACAGTGACTTGTTGAGGTGTAAGCTCTTCATCTGTCCACTAGGGGGTCAAATGTAAAACATTATTTTAATCACATTAAACATACAACCAGATGTATATCCCACTGTCAGGGGCATTACGGGTTTATCTAGTTGGTTATAAATAAAACCCAGCACCAACATGTGTACTGCAACTGAGTGATACTTCAGTCTCGTAGTACTCCAGTACTACACTGAGGTGGAAATTTAACTTTGCAGTTGTAATAAATGACTTTGCTTCTTGTGTCCCCACAGTTCTTTTCTGTTCTGACGTTCTCATTGGTTGGAATGCTGATGATGACATCAGTCCAAATCCAGTTCGAACCAACATCCTTCCTATTATCTTTGATCTAGTTTCAGATTTCTACGTGTTCAGGGGCCTCGTGGTGACGTTTCCGTTCCATGACTCACCATCGTCACCATGCAGTAGTTCTCCTTCCAGGCTCCGCAGCAGCCGAAGAAGGAAATGAAGAAAATCACCACGCCGATGACGATGAGAAGGATGGGAGCTCCTGACGCTGTGGCGTCATCGATCATGAGCGTCTTGTGCAGCGCCACCTGGACCAGGATTCCCACCACAATCAAGGCAAGGCCACATATCTGCAGACAAACACGGGACACGGTGTCAGTCAGGGACGGAATTTTGGAGATGATCACATTCTTTTAAAGACATTTTTAATCTTTTTTCTTGACTCGGCATCAGCTCAGAGACTGGAACTCCCAACACAAACCTCACCACAGCCCAGTCAGGATGACAATCACAGCCTTTAACCACTTATCCACAGGCTAAACTAGCTTTATTTACTAAATTAATATCAATCTCCCTCCACAAACAGAAACTAATTTGTAGAGACAGGAATGGGATTCAAAAAGCCACGAAGAGCTGGGAATGTTCAGAGTGGAAGAAACAAAAATGTAGGAGAAATTTTTTTTTTAGCTGGGAATGTTCAGAGTGGAAGAAACGAAAATGTAGGAGAAAATTTAAAAAAATATTTTCTTTCTAAAAAGCAGCGTCGCCAACAGCAAAACCTGCTCTGAATAGTTTAGTCCTGGCAATGAACTAAAGCATAGTTCCAAACTGGGGCAGAACTATTTCTAAAAAAAGGAGATAAAATTAACTGGGCTAAAAAAAAACTTCAATTTTAATTTTATAAAAGGCTGTGAAGATATCTTTAAACCAGGGGTTTTTTGTCAGAGGAGAACAGACAGGAAGACTTCAAGACCTTTGGCTGCAGTTGTTGAAAACCACCCTGTATTACCACACTTGTTTTAGTTTTACTGTAGTATAACTGTAGTATAATTTCTTCATGTAAAGTACGTCCAGAAACCCTATTATTGTTCAATTCTTTTTGTATTCAACGACTGAGTTTGATATTAAATATTTCTAGAACAACTTAAACTCATGTGAGAAACTCGTGTGAGGCTTCAGCAACAAAGTTGACACAGTTCCTGAATGTGGTCGTAAATGATCAGATGACTCAGTGTGATGTTCATGTGTCACGTCAGGGAGGAGAACCAGGAGCTCTTCAACAGACCCCTGGTACACATGTGACACACGTGTGGTCTTCATCAGACCAGTGACTCCAGCTCATTTACCCAAACACAGATCAGGACCACCGTGAATCTGTCCGGTGTTTCAAAGTCTTCAAGAAGGTTGTTTTATCTCAACTAATCGTGATTAACGTTGCGTAATCAACAGTTACCATGTGATTAAACAGCCTGATGTGGAAACATCTGAATTCACAATCACTCTTTGTCATGCTAAAGCCAAACAACATTGTGTGATACTGTAAATAGGGGGCGCACTAATCTGTAAAACCTTTGTTTTTTTGTTAATGAAAAACGACAGATAATTCTTTTGAACTGCTGCTTCCTGAGTGAACAGTAAAACACAGTAAACGACAGATTACAGTTTGTGGGTAAAACCTTTCTCACTTCTCTTTTTAGTTACCACCTGAAGGAAGAACAACATTGGTTCTAAGGGAACCCATGTCCCAGGTTCTAACAGACTGATGTCATGTCGTGATGTGGTTTGTAAAGTTATTCTTTCTAAGCTGCTGCTGCCACTAAATGACAGTGCTTGGCGCCACCAAAGTCAATATTTGAGTGTGAATCTTACAGGTGGTTCCACAGAGCTGACGTTAGAAAACATGAGAGGGAACAGAGGAGGAGCACGGAGAACGAGGAAGGTCAGTTTACACCAACACGGCAATAAAACCACATCAAAATGAATGTGAAAGAACCATCTGTTATCTGGATAACATAAGAACAGGAAGCTGAAATTTCACTGGAACAAATTCCAGTGAATTTTTATGCACTAATCAAAGCAGTGGTTCTCAAACTGGGGGGCGGGCCCAGCTCTGGGTCGTGGACCTTTTCCTCTCAGAATTATTTTTTAGCAGGAAAAACTAATTTTAATATTAAAATGTTTGACTATTTGACTATTTGTTCCACTGATTTGTGATTTAATTTCCTTTGTTCAATGAAAAGAGCAGTTTCTGAGGATTTACAATAACTTCTTTGGATCATGGGTGAAAACAAAACACATATAAGGCCCACACATGGAGAAATATATATATATAGTGTATTTCTATAATGAACATTATTATAAGTGTACTGCTGGAATTCCTCCTCCCATGTGATGACTAAACCACATTACAAATAAATGTTTTACAGCTGTGTCTATCACTATGTCAGGGATGGATGGAAAAAACAGAAAAGGCAGTGATGTGGATGAGTCACATGATCCCGTAACTCTGAAATCATGGTCATAAGACTCACATTCCATCATCGCCCTCTAATGCTAAATCCTTCAAACCAACAAAGAGTAAAATGCAAACAGATTACAACCAGGAAATGGGAAGTTCCATCCGGACATGTTCCACTGAGTCTTCAAAAAATGTGATTTTTGTTTTTTTTAAACCCTGTGTCATTCATGTGATTTTTATACAATATGTGATTGTTCTAGAACAAACGATGTAAAGGAAATGTCACAGATTCTGTAGTGTTTGTGATTCAATCATTGAATGAGTTCATCTGAGGAAACAGTGAATGAACCAAAAACTGATAAAATCGAATTCCCTTCGTTGAAAAACATCACTGATTATCACAGCTCAGCTTTTACTTTCTCTTTTACTGCTAATCACACGAACAACAATATAACAACTATATATATATATATATATATATATATATATATATATATATGACTGTCACTCACCCAGAAAAGGAAGTTGAAAAAGAAGAGTAGATACTTCACACATTTCATTCCCCCCTCAACAGCCATGGCTGATAAGGATCAGTTTCCTGAAACAAAATAACAAAGAAATACAGTTTTTAAAAAAGAAAAAAATGTTATTGTATTTCTTGTATTGTATTTTCTCATTTCCGACTTTTCCAAATCAGAACTAATGCCCATGTATATGACATCAGCAGTAACGGGAGTAGTTGTGGAAGAGCAGAGTCATTTTCAGTGGAACAGGAAGTGACACATGTAAACTATCGTGTACCTGAACTGTAGAGAAAACTGAAACAAACTTCCCTTTTAAATGTAACAAATACAAAACACAACATAGATAGATAGTACTGACTGACATGCAAGTAATAATTAAAAAATGATTACAATAAATTGGTCTCATTTAATGACTATAATCATAATAAAGGTGGTATGGGACAATTAATACTACCTTAAAACTTCTGTACCATTGCCACAGGTAAACAATTTCACAATAAACATTCTTTGGTATGTAACAAACATGTATTAGTTTATTGTGACATCTTTGGTAATGTGTAACATTTTCCTAACAATTTTGGTAATTTCCTGTACATTTTTGTGTAAAAGGGCTAGCATGTGTCTCATTAGCATTGGTGTTCAACCAAAGAGATTCCACAGTTTTTTTTACCAAGGTTGTGTTTGACAATCATTTTACATTAATATTGAAATTATTATTATGGCCAACTGTTGCACATCTCGACCAATTGAAAATATAATATTTTGATTAATCGACTATAATAGAAAGTCGATTTTCGGTTAGGTGCACAAATTTAAAGAAATTAGTTCCGGTAAGATGTGTCAACTTCAACGAGTCCACAGTGATGGATGGGATCACAAAGTTCCGGTAAGATGTGTCAACTTCAACGTAGAGTCCACAGTGATGGCTGGGATCACAACAAACGTGTCAGACATGTTCCTATTGTCCGGTGCCTAAAAACGTACTGAAGGGGCGACTGTGCCTTTATTTCACTGCTCTTTGTCTAACGGCAGCTCATCCGTACGTTTTAACATGTTGAAAATGCTCCACGGTCGGAGCAAACCGCGAGTTTGACTTGAGAAAAAATAGGGATTCTTTTTGGAAGGTGAGCGAAGACGTAGGGTAATCAAACAAAGGAAAATGGCGAGCAGATAAAATCAGGGATTTAAGCACAACGTTAGAGCACCACAGTCTGAAGACTGGGTAGTTAGTAACGCCACACCGACGGACAAAACTTAAGTTAAATTAAAGGTAAAAAAAAAGTTTGTTGATTTACAACAAACAAGTCTTAAACTCACGACCGTATTACGAGAAAACTAGTCGTAAGTTTGTAAGTAAGTTTAGGTGACATCTTTTAGGGGGAGACATTACGGGGAAACACCCACCGTAAAACGTGAACGTGAATCAGAATATTTACCCCGAAGTCGTTTCTTAAATTATACATAAACATTGATTTAAGAAAATTAGGAGATGCGTCATTTTCTGATTCATCAACATTACGTCGTCATAAGCATCACGACATTCAAACGAAAAAAAAAACTATTCAAAAAAAGGAAGTGGATGATGTTATTTAGCATTTTTTATTTTATTACCATTTTCATATTCTTGTAATATTATGTCTTTTTCATAATCGTATTTTTTCTGTACTAATGTCACAACTGACAAACCCACATGGTTTTTACTTTTGTCAACCTGTCTTTTCCCTGCGTAATAAACCACTATTTTTTTTAATCTACCGTAAAGTACACGTTATAGTCTAAGACTTTGAACTAATTCTCATAAAGTTAGTTAAGAGATTGTAGTCTCGTAAACAGCCTATTTGACGTTATGTTACGGCTTTATTGTCATAAAATTACGTCTTTTTTTACTTTCGCCGTAACACCACGACTTAACACCATTTTCTACAATAACTTTTAATCCCGCCATTTTAAATATCATATACTACTGCTTATTGACGTCATCACAAGAAGAAAAAAAAAACAAGTTGTTGTTGTTTTTTTATTTCAGGAAGCCCAAAAGTGGCCCTGCCTCTGACCGTTAGTCACCGCTAACTTTACCAAACAATACCAGCGTTGTGTCCCGGGCCAAATGACATTTTCCGCTGCTTCCCCTCCGTTATTGAATTTGTTAAAAGTTTCACAGCTGCGGTAATTTTACACTAACAGACTGTTCGGCTGCGGCTCTTTGTCCCCGGCTGTCGAAACACGTCTTCTTTTCCACATCTTTGTTCCACAACATGCGCAGTTAAAAACTGACTTCTCTAACTCGAACCGAACTCACGGTTAACACACCGATGTGAAGTATCTGTTTATTTTAAGTATAAGTATAAGTTTTGTTTGGACTTACCTTTGGTTAGTTTGTAAAATCCAACGACTGCAGTCGACAACGTCAGGATTTTGTGACTTTAACTTGAGCCGTTAGTAGTCCCACCTTCAACTCCTCTGTTCCCAGCTCCTCCTCACTCCTCTGTTTGACCACAACTTCACGGTCTCCTCCTGGTTTGTCACTCAACAACGCCCACTACAGGAGGTCCCCGCACTGAGCGACAGTTGTTAGCTGACTCATTTTTCTGTGGAGGCTGAGCGGCGTCTCGGCATATTGAAGGTGTCGCCATTTAAATTGAGTTAATATGGTGCATCTATTCTGGGCCACACAGCGGAGGAGTGGCAGCTGCCCTCGCCTTACACCTAGAACGTCACAGATTCGATACCCAGTCTTTCCTTGTAGAAAAAACAAAAATCTTCCAGTTGTGTTTGTATGAGTTTTACTTACTTTACTTTTTACTTTATCTTCCAGTTGTGTTTGTATGAGTTTTCCCCCCAGAACTCAGTTTGTCCAGGATTAGGATAATTTGAGGTTTTAAATTGTTTATCTTAGAGTTGAGTGTAAAAACTTAATCTACTGTTCATATTATTAACCATAATCAGCCCACCCAACCCCCTCCCCTTACAATTAGAGTAACAGACCGAATATGTAAAGCAACACATAGGCAAACTACGGCCCTGGGGACCGGATGTGGCCCGTTTGGCTTTTTAATCCGGCCCACCAAACTTGTCCAAATGATGTTATTAATGTATATTATCATTATACAGCTGCCGTTTCCCTGCAATGCCTGCATTTGCCCAATAGATGGTGTAGAAAAGGCTGAAAAGGATTTTAGCATTTAAGCCTTTATGCATGACTTTTTCATCTCATTGATCACCAGGATTAACTTATCTTAGCCGAGGCTCGGGGGGAAAAAAGAATAAAAACACACGTTTAAATCAACGTGGCTTAAACACATTTCTCTGTGTATTTCTTATACCCGTTGGATATTATATGGTTTTTATAACTCTTTATAACTGTGACGTGAAGTGAAGAAATAAATCTATAAAACAATCCTGTGGTACCACCACATGTTATATTTCTCACTAGTAAAACCAAATACCAATAAAAGTGTCATCGACAAGTAAAGAAACGTTGACCAGGTCTGGTTTTAGAAAATCTCCTCACACACATCCTCCGACTGTTGTGTGGCAATGTCTGTGGGCAACATTTACTCAGAACGTGAATAGGGAAGTATGAGGAAACATTTCCCATTGGACTGAAGTAATCACGGTGTGAAAGGTCAAGGCATGACATACATGTGACGGTGTGCAGACGGTGAACAGGATGCTGTAGTGACCACTCATGAATGAACGTTCCGGTCATGTAGTGAGAGTCATGTGACTGTTACGGAAATTATCAGCATTTCATGGTGAAGATCATTCCAATTTGTCAGTACTGCAGTAGACTGTATATTACTATATTACTGTGTTAAAGTGTTAAGGCCTTTAAAGGTACAGTGTGCAGAATCCACTGGAGCTGAAATGAACCCCATCTCACTGTGACAAAGTTTCTGTTCAAACAGGAAGGAGATCATGAAGCAGGCTTCAAACAGGTGATCATTGACACACACAGGGATTTGGCTGTTTCTATTGTTCTGCTAATGCACAGTATTTACAATCCAATATGGCAGCCTCCTTTGTGAGACATGTGTTCTCATGTGACCGACCTCGCTTTGGCCCAGAGGCAATGTCTCTGTCTGTGGAGTGGAACCCCAAGGTTGTCTCCTTTCAGGAAGGTTCGGGGGAGGGGTTGGTACGGTGCAGTGTGATTTGCTGCCCCCATGACCCGGTGATGGATAAGCGGATAAAAATGGATGGATGGATGTGACTGACCTCTCAATAAAGCAGTAAAATAAATAAAAACATTTTTAATTTCATGTTAAATTTCCGCAACAGGTCAATCTGAAATATAAAATGATTCCATTCAAGAACACTGTCAGTGTTGTTTTTTATTTTGGTCAAGCTCAACCTAGGGAGTTATGTTCACTTTTATTATTTTTTATTTGTCAATTATTATATCATGTCAATCTTAAGTCATCTTATTTACACTGTTGAAGATTTAATTTAACATTTTTTAATTATTAATTTTATTTTATTAATCACATTTCAGCTTTATTTGACCGGTTCCATTGTCAGTTAAAAAACACAAAAATGTAAATACTAACAAACAGTGATTTTAAATTATTCAGTCAACAAGGACAAATATGTACTATTTACTCACAAGTGTAAACTTGTGTTATCACGTAATTATTGCAGGTGATTTTCAGTGCGATACTTTCAGCATTCACGTGTTTTTATTATGGTCCGTGGAAATGTTGGTTCTAGATTAATATCAGAACGAGGATGTTGTACTTTGTTGTACAGATGTTAGTGTTAACATTAACAATGGACCATGCCGTATCTCAGGTCCCATGCCCTCAACACAAATATTTATACAAGTCTGGTGTGACTGTATACATACTAGTGACCATCTGTCTTCGGAGCAAAGCAAACACGACTAAAACATTTGTGTTATGTGTAGAAGCAGATCCTGTTCTACATCTGAAGATCCAAAAAGGGATGGATGCATGACTTTATCACTGTCAGTTCTCTTCAAATTAACTTTTTTTTTCTCCCAGTTTGTTTCTTAGGATTCATGACTTACTTTAAAGTAGACGTCCATTTATTTATAGGAGCAGCAAATCCTTCAGGAGCCGACTTGTCTTATCATGTTTACTTACTCCACCTATGTCAAATTTCATCCTGTCAAAAAAAAGGTGGGTAAACACCAAGTCATTGATTGATTGATATAAAGGCCAAGGGACAAGTTAGTAACAAGTGTACAATAATAAACATTTCTAGTCTGGTCAATCTTGAAAGAAAAAATAGTTTAACATAATGTTGGTCATTTTTTACAAGCAGATACATTTTCGTATCCTGTCTTCGGTACGACTGCAGGCCCTAAAAAAAAACACATTACTTGCAGTAATGTGTCTGTTGTTAATCGTTGGGATGTTTTACACACAGGTTTAATGATTAATTTCACATGCGTCAATAATGTGTCCAAAAGACTGGGCGAAGAAATGTATCGCCATTTATGGTGCAACAAAAACTTTTATAAATATGCAGATGACACCACATTAAAGAGCTAAATTAAGCTAAGATAGTAAAACACAATTCTTATCTACTTATCACTTACCATTTATACATTATACATTATACACTTTAATAATACGTTAATAATAAATAATAATAATAATAAAGTTATAAAACAACAAAAACGGACAAATAAATAAATAAAAACAGAATTCAAAGGTGTTTAATAAACGGTAACTCTGTGTTCGACCGTTGACCGTACACAGGTTATGACGTCATCAACTTTGTCCGCGGTGGTTGGCTGGTTGGACCTTCACTCTAAACGTTAGCGGAGGAAGAGGTGGGTAAAGACGTTCGAGAACGGATATGGATTTGTCATCATGGCGGGAGGCATGAAAACAGCAGGCGGCTTCATTTCGACCACAACCCAGATAACGCTGTTTGTCGCGCTGTTCTTCAGCTTTCCACCGAAGTCACAGCAGCATACGGGTAAGAGGAAAATGTACCTTTGAATTGACACAGAAAACGTAACATTAACATTCATTTTGTTGCCAAGCTAACACGTGTTAGCTTGTGGTTTGTTTTGTTGTTGTGGGTTTTTTATGTTTTAAATAAACAGCAATTACGAATAAACCAGAACACTTCAAAATCATATACAGTAATTTAAAAATTACATTATTTAATAGCGTCAATTTCACCTTCAATATCTCGACCTTTCCTGTCGTCAGTTCTATTTGATACGTAAGACGTTTTTTTGTTGATTTTCTGTGCTTTAAGGATCGTATTTCTCATCACCAGCTCATACACGTTTTCACGGTTTATTTTCTTAAGTGGTTTCACTTTTGTGGATGTCTATAAAAAAGGAGAAAACCTTGAGGAACACCAGAGTTGCTAAATGTAAACAAAATGTAGTGACATCCGCGTTTTTACTGTGAAAATCCGTTTTACTGTCAATGAGGAGCATTAAAAAAGTGTAGAGAAGTAGTAGTAGAGTAAAATAATTAAAACTTACTAAAAACTTACTAATACAATATTTATCATTGATTACCAGACTTATCATTGCAGCTCTTGTGTACAATGCAAAAAAAACAAAACATGAAAATTGTAACATATATGAAAAGACTCACCTGTCATTGTCTCAGTTTATTTTCATAAGCATTGGAATTCTATAATCACGACAAACCTCTTTAATGACACGTGCTGTTTTGATGTGACATTTTATGTTTATCATTTTAGGTTCTAAAAATCCTGTGGTGGATCTACAGGATGGAGAGGTTTACATCTTATCAGGGTCCAATCGGTTCTGCTACAAAAACATCATTGTTCCAACCTGGAAACAGACCTGGACAGGGATTCAGGTGCTTCAAACACGTCTCAGCATTTCATACTGATATCGTAATCAGAAATTTAGTGTTTGGACAATATCGACAAAAAGTTAATATCGGAAATCCCTATTTATCACCCGCCGTCTGTTGTAGATCAAGGTCTGGAGTTCCGGTGTGTTCAAGGTGATAACAGTGGAAGGTGAGGATGAGCTGCAGGAACTGGAGCGATTTAGCGTATGGACCTGGTTCAGGGGGTTATTACTTGAACGATACAACGAAACCACCATTACCATCAACCTGTTCAGCAAGAATACCTGCTTCAGGGTCGACCCCAGTGGGGACAGCCAGTACACCATTAAACCTCTGCGAAGTGAGTGGAAGACGAGATGTCCCGTTGTTATTGACGGCTGTTTCAAAGCTAAACTTTCTGCTTTCTCCTCCCTGCAGAGTTTGATATCTACCTGTTCCTGGTCTTTCTTACTGGGGTGCTGTTGCTGTTCTTTGCAGACTTACTCAGCAGGTGATTTTAAATTCCTATTTAGTTGTTCTTTCAGTAATTATTACTAATATTGTGCAGAACTATATCTTTTTTTTGTTTTTGGGATATTTAGGAGTCAAGTTTTCTTCTACTCTTCTGGAATGAGCATAGGCATGATCGCCTCCCTCCTCGTCCTCGTCTACATTTTGGGACGTTTTTTACCAAAGGTAGTACATGACATAGTTTTTTTTATCATCTGTAATTATTAGGGGTGTGTATTGGCAAGACTCTGGCGATAGGCATAGGAATGTATTGAGTTTTTTGTTTTTGTTTTTTTATTAACATTTTAACTGTAGTCCCAGTGTGATCCCAGTCTCAGACTCTGTTCCATCTGAACATCAGTTCCTAACACTGGAACAGAGGGATCTACATTTGGAATCACTAGAGAAGAAAGAAAAGAAAAAGAATAATATTTTGTTCTTTTGTTTCCACAGAAAGGCCCTTTTTATCTGCTAATTGCCGGCGGCTGGTCGTTCTCGGTCTATACCATTCAACTTGTGTGCAGGAACCTCAAGATAATTCTGCAGGAACACTGGAACATGGCTTTAGGTACGAACAAAAGTGAAGTACTGATGCAGTACTCGATATTGTGACTGCTGCTAAGCATTTTCTACACACTAAATTATTATTTTTATTTACATTTTTTTCAGCATTCAGTATACAGTATATATATATTTTTTCCACAGATTTAATTTTTTTTGTCTGAATGTCTTTTTTTTTTTCCAGTTTATGTTGTGGTGGTGGGATTCGTCAGCTTTGCCATCTGCTATCGCTACGGTCCCTTGGTGAACGAGAAGAACATCAACATCATGTCGTGGACGCTGCAGCTGCTGGGCCTCCTCCTCATCTACATGGGAATTCAAATTCAACAGGTGGCCTTCGCCGTCATGGTGGCAGCTCTGCTGTCCAAAAATCTGGAGTACCCAGTCCTTCTGGGACTGACCGTGTTTAGGTGAGTGTGTTGTCGCAAAGCGGACACAAGGTGGCACAATAACACTGTGCTGTAACAGAGAACCACGCTGGTCACGTGGTCCTGATTACTTCCTGACAATGTTTTCAAATCAAGTTGCATTGTTTTTATTTATTTTATTTTTTAAATGCTATTTACAAAAAAAATGATTTCCAGTTTAAATATTTTTTGAAAATCATTGCTCTGCGTTGGTTTCGGACTTTAACGGTTTTTATTCATTGCAGGAAAATGAGACGGTTTGTAAACTGGAAGCCAGAGCCACGTCGTCTGTTGACTGAGGAGGAGTATCAGAAAGAAGCGGATGAGGAGACCAGACGTGCCCTAGAGGAGCTCAGGAAGTACTGCAACAGCCCAGAGTTCAGTCCATGGAAGGCCGTGTCCAGGCTTCAGTCTCCACGAAGGTGAAGATGATGACGTTATATGTGTGAAAAAAATATTTATATATATGTAAGTGTGTCTGTACATATGTATGACTGTATACATGTAGACAGATGGAACATTATACATTATTTTAATAATATAATACATTCATATATTAAAATACGTATGTGTATATATATGCACATATATATGTTTGTGTATATACTCTATATATATATACACATGTATATATTTGCACATATATGTATGTATATATATATGCATGTGTATATATATGCACATATATATGTTTGTGCATATACTGTATATATATATATATATATACACATGTATGTATGCACGTGTATTTATGTATGTATAAATGTGTGGTTGTGTACGTGAATTGAATAAACACATGCATACTGTATATACACGTGCAAACACACGTCTATATATATATAAATATACTATATATATACATGCAGTATATATATGTATGTGTGTGTATAGTATATGTATGTTTGCTGCATTCTGACTCAGAACTTTCTTAATATCAGTCAACAGTCACAATGACTGTCAGACATTGTGTCTGAAATCTATACAAGTCATAACCTCATGGTGGTGCTAGAGGACAGTCAGGTGAGGCTTTGAATTCATAATAAGGTCAACTTTTAAACCCACTGTGTAAATGAGTCACTGTTTGCTGCGTTGTTAATATGATTGAAGGTGTATTTTTTAGGCAATACGTGTGTAAATATATAAATTATATATAATATATAATATAATATTTGTCGTTTTGACTTCAACCACAGGTTTGCTGATTTCATGGAGGGCTCGTCTCACCTGATGCCGAACGAGGTGTCGGTCCACGCGCAGGAATACGGCTTTGGAGGAACATTCTACGAAGATGAATTATTTGACACTGACGATGAAGAGGATGAAGAGTTGAAGCCTCTGATGAGAACAGAGTGGGAGGACACACACACAGAGACACACACACCCCTAGTGGTGGTTGTTGTAATTGCCTTTCAGAAAGGTGCTAAAGAAACAGTTCTCCAGAACCTGTGAAGAAAAGTCCTGCTGCTCCAGTAGTGAACTGTGAGGGTGACTTCAGTCTCAGCAGCTTAAAGCAGTCACTACAGCCACACCAGGCAGCACTGTTGGGTCACATTCAGCCACAGGGGGCGCCATCATTTCAGGGGAGCAATGGTTTAAATCTACGCTTAACGAACTCTGCGGTTGAGGCTGGTTTGATTTGAATGGTTTTTAATTTTGTCTGTGGACGTTTCAGTCGGTCAGCAGAGCAACAGAACGTCAGCTGCTGATACGACAGGAATTTTTGTCTTTTTTAATTCCGTTAATTCCGTTTTTAATGGGCTTCATCAACAAAGGTGACGCGATACTTTCAATAAAAAATGTGTTAGCCCCAACGTGTTTGTATTGGTGTCATTGGACAAGAGGCTGGAACTCAAAGGGCAGTGATTTCAAGTCGGGGGCAACACAGGGGAACAGGTGGATCACATGTTTGCCTTACAGCCAAAAAGATTGCTGGTTCGATCTCTAGTCTTTCAGTGTAGAAAGAACCTGTTCTGGGTTTGTTAGTTGTATACTCCCACTTACCACAAGTATTTTTTTTTTAGCGAGGTCGTGAAATGCTACCAGGACAGAAAACATGGGGGCGGTGTTGCACAGTACAGCTAATGTGTGGGTGTAAAAGGAACAGGAAGAAGAAGATGACAGAACAACAGAAACGTTGCTATGGTATAACTCGGATATGATCTCTCTACTCAGCACTGCCCCTAGTGGAACAACCATGCCATAAGACGTATGATGGTTAAAATGGATACACTGAATGAAAAGGAACCAGATGGTGCAATGGAGCTTTTTTTTGTGTGTGTCTCTTCATGTGACCCAGTGATGAACTGAGGAATTCTGATTTCCACCCTATGACTGCTGGGATACGCTCTCATTCCTACTGCCCTGAAAAGGATGAAGCAGTTGAAAATGAATGAATGGATGGATCTTTAAATGTAGAATGTTCACTCTCCTGTTTGCCCAGCAGGGGGTGTTATAACTGCATTTCTACAACATGGAACCAGGTTCCAGCTGCTCTGGTCATCACTGTAGTCCAGCACCGAGTGGCCTAAGACCTGAGACTGACTCTGACAATGCAGTGAAAAGTTGAAGGAGGTCAGACATTGACTGGTTCTTTTCTATGTGATCTTACTGAAGAGTTTGAGACACAATTTGGAATTTTATTACAGGAAGCTGTGAAATGTCAGAAGTTGACTTAAAAACAAAGAACCACAATTACTTACTAGGGATGACTTGGTCGGACTTCAGGATTGGTATCGCTCTAATGTTGGTCTAAAGATTTAAGGATGAAACATGGAAAACTAAAGCCTGTTAGCTCCGATTACCTACACCCAAACAGGGGCGCTAACGCCTCGGCAACGGAGGAGAAAAGAAGGTATTGGATTGAGACATGAAAAAGTTGTATCGCTCTTCCCTACTACTTATTATACGTATTCCTTTTTTATATTAATTTATATTTTTCCCAATTATACTGCAATATAATATACAAATATGCCCCATCACACATATTTTGTAAATATATTTGACTGAATATACTGATTCTGCCTTCCAGGAAAAAGGAGGTAAAGAGTTCACCTAAAATAACCAAAACACACACACAGTCACAGTGGTGTCACCGCCTGAAAAATACCCAGGTGATAGGATAAGAAATTCCTGACCTTTCTCATAATCTTCCATCTAACCGTGATGTCTCTTTCTCCAATGGAACTCACAGAGTGAACTTCAACTCAGAGTTCCCGTGTCAAATTCTGAGCAATGCAAGATGTTACGATGGAAAATAAAATAAAAAATACACGGCAACTTATCTGCGTCTTTAATCAACGTTTGCTGCTGTCACAGTCATCTGTGAAGTCATAACAGAACGAGGAAAGACTGCAGTGGATCCACCACTCTACGCTAAAGACTAGATACGGTTATCTTTGATCAAGCAGAGGAACAAAAAGCAAAAAAAAAAAATCATCATCGGCCTGATCCTCCCCCTCAGTTTCACTACAGCATATCTGATACGGTGTTGACATGACATTTGGAGCAGCTGTGAATCCCTTGACTGATGGCAGGGAACACCCCATCCACGGTGTTGCAAATGACTGTACACCTTTACAACTATGTGTGACACAGCTGATGCATCCAGTGCATGCAGTATTTGCATGTGTTTCCCAGGCGCAGGCTGGCAAACTGAAGCGTATCACCCGTGCCTTTACAATCCCCGGGCACTACTTCCCCGAAGAGCATGTCACTAACGGAAGTCTCACACAAACACTTCTACGTTGGACGAGGAAGTGTGTGTGTGTTTGTGTGTGTGGGGGGGGGAACCACTTGAATCTAAGAGTTGCACGACAAACACTGATGACCGTGCTGTATGTAAAGTGTCTGGAGTTCCCCGTCGCTCACAGCCCATGGGTCGACCCTTGGACCTCACCATTTTCATACCTGATTATGTGGAATAAAGATAGGACCAGATGTCGCCGCTCTCTTCACGACGGAGATAAGAAAACCTTCAGTTCAAGCAACATTGTCATCATAACGACAGACGGTTGGATTTATTAAAGTTACATATACACTGTACGCTGCATTGAAATTCTTCACAGTAAATAATAATAAAAGAAAAAAACAGAACAGTCTTGTAACAAAAAGAAAACCTACACATGAAAAAGGAATGAACGAACGTGACGGCACGCGTTTCAACTTTTTGGTGTGTTATTTAACGCAGTCTTTGACTGTTAAGATTCATTCACCTCACCTCAGTCTGAACCATTCAGTCCAGCAGGAGAGGAAAAAAAATAGTCCAGTGTTGGTTAAAAACCTAGCGTCCTCGTCAGTATTTGTTGATCCCAAATATCCGTACTCCGTGAAACTGAGGCAGTTTGGGGAGGAGGACGCTGAGGAGGGAGCCGGTGTTGATGAGGAAATGTGTCGGGTCGTATTTGGTGTAGAAACTGGCGAGAATGTACCTGTGGGGAGAGAACAGGGTGGATCATCCGTGGAGTCAAACTACGGAACACGCTACACTGGTTCCTTCTCTGGTACCTTATCCATATATGGGCACCAAATATTGATATATAAACAATTAACTCTTTCAACAAAAACCTGCTGCAATTTTTTTTTCAATATTTGCAATATATTGATTATTGATGTATTGTGATATTTATCGTATTGTGAGGTTCCTGGTGATGCACATTTTTGTTTGAGTATTTATTTGGATTTATGTCAAAATTGAAATGGCAATTTATTTTGGATTTTTGTTGTTATGTGACAGTATTTTACAACATCACAGTATTTATAGCTAGTGGTTTTACTATAATAAACAGACCTTTGACTCATGGTGGCGACAATGGTCACAATGTTGTCAACATGATACATGGTGTTGATTATATGTGGTGGAGGAGTACATGTGTATAGATATACTGCAGTACACAATATATACATAGTAGAATGCTGTAGTTTAAGAACTGTTCTGCTCCATATTAAATTACTGTCTGAAGTCGGAGTTGTAGCGCACCCTACAGTCAGGGGAGTGAACTGCAAGGCTGTGTGTTTCTGATTAAATTCACCGCAGACTCTACCATCACGCATGATGAGAAACGAAAAACAAAAATCTCCTTACAGGACGATCGGAGAGATGGTGAGAAACTTGCGAGAAGATGTAAACTGAACACCGTAGTCCATCTGTTCCCAGTGTGTGAGCAGCCGGGCTTTGCCCTGGTCGGGTGTCTCAAAGGGAGTTCCTTTGACTGTGTGTAGAAACAGGTACATCATCTGCAGGAGACAGAGGTCACAGACAGAGGTCACACACACACAGAAGGAGAGACACGTGGGTGAAACCAGTAAATGTGTCCAAAACTGTTCATAATAAAAAAAACCTTTATGGTACAGACACATGTGAATGCTGTCAGCAGAGATACTATACTAGATGTGCCTATCATTGACGTAAACCTGACCTAAATCACCTACGAGAAGCCGTTCTCATTGAACAAAGGCACAAAAAAAACAAACAAATCAGTGCAGTTTTCTAACTGTGGCAAAAATAATAGTTAAACTTTTTTTTTAATTTACCCTGCTGTATGGCCCTTGCAATAGCTCTGCGGCCTCTATGGGGACCCGCCCCCTGCTTTGAGTACCAGTGTTATGAACTAACACATTAATATTTATTTTAGGTCAGAGGACTGTATTGAATGTATTGATTGTGATGTTTGGTGTGAATGTACTGTAATACTGTGACTTATAACATGAACTGACCAGGTTGTGGATGACGTTAGTGAGGGTCCAGACTAGTGGCACAGTGAAGAAAGGTATGCTGAGCAGGATGATGTGCAGCACCACAGTCAGGAGCAGGTAGGTCAGCCAGATGCCCCTGCTGTTCATCACCCGTGTGTTGGGGTTGACCTCACTGTGAGCTACACCCACATTCATCTGGAACACATGATCAACAAGGACAACATTAGGTAAGGACCCCAAATGTACAGTGGGCACTGATCCAGATGTTAGAGTGCAGCCCATATTTTGCTACAAATTCACTTCTCTGGTCTGGGATCTGATAAGATTGAGGCTCTGTCGTTTCATTGGTTGAAATGGGGCTACGATTGAATTAAATCCCTAAATAAATCATATTTAACCTTTTATTACATAAGGTTTGGGAAATTAACATTATTGTTCAATGTAAAAAAAATAATTTAATACAATGTCCTTGGTTTTAAACCTCACGTGTTGAAACAAAAGGTCAAAACAATACAAAAAATATAAACACCACGGTACAAATACTACAGGTAGAGGAACTCCGCCCGGCTGCACCGTTGTAGGTAAACAGAGCGAACGCTTCCGCTAACGTCATTCATCAAGCGACATTTGGTAAAAGAAAAATAGGCTCTCAGCAGACATAATAAAAGTGACAGAGTGATGCAGTAAAGCAAAACTTTGGCTGAGTTTAATGTAAAATAACAACAACTGTACACATACGGCTTGGGGTCTGCGACGTTCAGCCTGAACGTGAGTTTTCTGACACTCGCTAACGGGCTAACTGTTGCTATTGACGGAATCCAACGCTATCGTTGGTTTAGGTTCATCGCCATGTAAAACAATGACACGATAACCTGAAACTGGAGGTTCTAAAAGCAACAATTTGGGCGTGAAAGATAAATCTTGTCTAAACGGCCTTTTAATGTTTTGAAAGATAACATTACAATGGCGCAAACTTTACCTTCCTCCGCTGTCACAGCTCACCAGGAAATTCCTAGTTTATTCTTTTAACCCCGCCCTCGTCAGACTCACACTCGTTCCTGCTGCTACGACACACACACACAAAAAAAAAAAGAATAAAAAAGCCCGGTGTGAGTTCTTCTACCAGTAACTACGGCACTTTCTGTAACAGGTAAACTGGCCCGACTAGCAGGGAAAAATGATCATTTTTATTGTTATTTATCAGAAAAGACATGGTCCTCCAAGAAATTCCCACAATGCCCCAGTAGATGTCAACATAGTTTAACCGTAAAATCAAAAGAATATCTGGATGTAATCTATGTAACATTATTTAAAAATGTCAATTGGAAATTAAATTGTAGTACCACAGCTGACCAGTAGCTAAATCCAAAAACCCCTACAGACCGAGGATTCTAACGTGCGTTGACAGATGATCAATGTCGCTGGGAAATTATCCAATTTCACTTAATTGGTCTATTGTTTATCACAATGACAGAGAGGACAATTAAATACCCACCACTTGGTGGCAGCAGGGGCCTATAAAAACTTTTTTTATTTTAAAAAAGAGCTTTTGGGGAAGATCTTTTCTTTCTTCAATTTCTATGAGCATGTTAGCATTGTTTTCAACTAAACAGGCCCAGGTTTTAAGCAGTGAATTGTGAATTGGAAGATCATTATATTTTATCACATATACGTTTTGTGACAAGTACATTTAGATCATATGTAAATTATGTGATATATACATATAGCTATTCCTATAAAAATGTACAAAACATTTGAATGTCCATATACCTGGTCAAAACATTTTTATTTGCAGGTTAAATTAGTGATGATTACCAGAGTTAGTCAATAGTCATATTTCCTGCCCTTTGAATGCGGCATAGGTATTTAGGGACATATCTGCACAAGAAAAAAAAAAGTTATAATTTGCTTTATAGCTGTGTGTATGTTTAGTTATAGCACCGAAGCAGAATGTATTCACTGGCTGCTTACGTTATTAAAAACGTTGACTGTCGATTGCACAATAACCTGAATACAAGGGATTCAAAATTAACATTTTTTGTATTTTAAATATAAATGTCAAAACTAAATTTAAGTAGCTCCTATTAAAAACCACCCGAACTGAACCGCAGGGGCTGTTGAGCTGAGAGAAAATAACTATTTAAATTAGTCTCAAGCTTTGGAACTTAACTTGAAAACTATAATAAAAAAATAAAAAAAACCCCCACCTTTACATTTGATCTGCATTTAGCAGCTTCAGAAATCACCCTGCATGAGGTAACAGGTTCTCGGTGTTCGGAGTATATTTTAAGAGCAGTAGACTGTATTTATGTTGGCGCTGGCTTCATGCCTGTATGAAAAAGAAATAACAGAGTGAACAGAGTATAGCTGCACTTACTCACTGCACTTACTGCACGGGATCAGTTTACTAAAATGTTTCAGCCAACTTTCCTGAGGTATCTTGGCTCAGTCTTCTTTGTTGAACCTTCCGGTATTGTTCAATTTTATTATTTATTTTTTCTCCTCTGGCTCGAAGCCGAGTGTTTTGTTTATTCCACAAAAGCCAAAGCTTTGTGCCGGTAACAGTAAGTGTTTGGTTATGAACTCAGACAGACGACAGATGACACAGTGAGGGGCTTTTTTTTTTTTTTTTAATGATTTTTATCATCAGGTTTCATCATAGTTTTGATCCAAGTTTTAAAGGTTTGGTTTTTCCTGTCACCTAATATATTTTTTCCTTTTGGTTATACATGCGTGTATTACGCACATGAGTGTGTGACGCTGCTATTGGTCAATACAGAATTCATTCAAATGTATTAAAAGTGATTATAAATGTTAGTGATCACATTTTCCTAATTATTATAAAGCCAAGTGCAGTACTAGTGGGTACTGTGGTACTTCAGGTCCAGAAAGAGTGTATACAGTTTGTAAATACTTTTTTTTTTTTGCATTATTCCAGGTGTTTTAGACATACTTTTTCATGTGTCATGAAGTTTATGACATCATTCATTTTCAACCTGCGTCAGTTTTCCTCCGTGGAATTGTGATGTATTTGAACTCCATTTATTGACTCTGAACATAAACGTTTTTCAAATCTAAACGAAATCCTTCTCAACTAACTCAAAATTCGAAACCAGAGGTTTTCAACATGGGGGCCGCAGCCCCTTCAGGAGTCCACAGAAGTATTGCGATAGGGTCAAGGGTTAGGATAGTTTGTTGATTAATATCTTTTCATCAGTATGTGGGTTCTTGACTCTTAGCTACGGTTCTTCCAATGTTGACAGACCTTTTTGGTTTGTGCTATAGTTCTGTTTCCACAATTCCAAGTGTCATTTGAGGTCATTGCCACCTCAGTGACACGCCACACTGATTGTACTACACAATGAATAAGAACCTGATATGAAATGATGTCATAAAATTTCTCCAGTGACTGTAACTCTAACATGTTGACCTTTCTCTCTGCATCGTCTTTACATGAATACAGCGATGCAATGCTGCCGGGTGATTCAGAGTCTCGGTGGAGAGATGAACGTCTACATTTATATTTGTCATCGATTTATAAAAAACAAACAAAGCAAAAAAAAAGTTATCTAGAGCCGTAGCCTGTGTGTCATGTCATGTGTTTTGGTGATTCACACTGGTGGACTGTGGTTTTTTTACTTTTCGTTTTCACTGCTGCCTGGAACAATTTCAGCTCAGGTTGCAGCGCCCCCTATTGTAGATAGGCCTGTTTTGTTTCAAAAAAACGTCCTACGACAACCAAAGACACGTCGCAGATGAAGAAAATAACTTGCGCCGATACAGATAATGCACAGCAGATTTAATGTAACACAGTAATAACAATAACAACAAGAGTCATTATTATAAAAACAATAACAATAAAATAAATTCATGATAATAAAAAGACAAAAAGCAGGGTGTGTGTGTGTGTAGCTATTATCCTATTACAAACCCAACGCCTCCAGCTGTGATATTTATTTCCTCATTCATTTGATTTGATTACCTGAAACTGTCATTTGGTTTTTCCTGCAGTAAGTCGTTATTCAGGCTAATGAGAACAAATTGTCCTTCCTCAGCAGCCGGTGGCAGATGTCAGCAGTTAATGCTGGTGTGTGTGTGTGTGTGTGTGTGTGTGTGTGTGGGTGGAGTCAGCCACACCTTCACCCCGGTGTCTCCTCTGACGCCTCTTCCCATTTCAACATGCATGCTTCCTTTATTAATTTTTTTCTTTTTTTTTCTTGACGTGTTTGTTTTGAATACCTTCTGGTCTGCGTTACATCATCATCAGAGTTTTTAACATGCTTTCAATAATACACACACACACACACCGACTGGGAGGAAGTATGCAGGAAGTGGCGTGTCCTCCAGCAGCAGCAGGAGTGTTTTAGGAAAGCACAGCTTCCTCCTGACCCCAGCCAGTTTTTCCAGCTGCTTTTTTATGAACAGAGCGGGTTTATACCGCTGCATAATGTCAAATTGTTTATTCATGTTTCTTTGGAAGGAAGCATCACACCTGAAAGTACTGTGACGACATTGATGAGCTGGAGACACTGGTCAGAGAATGGATAATTGTTTATTCATACCATTGGATCATTTGTGCATGAAATTCTTAAAAAAAAATTCTTTTGATTGAATAGTTAAATACAAAATCATCAATTGATACCAATAAATAGAAATAAATAATTGCAATAAATAGAGTGAATAAATACTAGAGAAGAATTCCATTGGAAATACAGAGCATTCGCGGCAGAGACCGGAGCGGAAACACAGTTTCTACGTGATCGGCCGACGAATGCTGTATCGGAGGCTTTGATCAATGTGATCAAACAAAGATTTGTTGGTTTTTTTCTTTGTGTACAATTACAGCTGCATAATCAGCCGGTGGTGGAACACAAGGTGGCGCTCTCAGACGAGCCGTGATTGGCGGGATCGCCCATGGCGAAGACGCGAGCGGTGAAGATGGAGAAGGAGTAGAGTCTCTGCATGGTGTAGTGGCACAGCAACTCCGCCTCCCAGGCTTTGGTGGTTCTGGCCCTGTTGATGCTGGAGTCCTGTTGGAAATAAAATGAAGAGTTGAGTTTGACGGACAGACCTAGGATGACACACACACACACACTCACGCACACTCACGTTTGAAGGCCCCGTCCATTCTCTGGTTTTCAAACACTTGCTCATGTCCTCCTGCAGTTTCTTCATGGCCGGCGTCAGTTTGGTGCTGAACTCTGAACAGCTCTTGAATTCAGCCAGCCACGCCACCTCGGCCCTGTAGCTGCCCAGGACGCGCAGCATCTTCTCAATGCAAGGCTGAAGATGGAGGGAGAGAGGAGAGAGGAGGGTCAACAAATCACAGGTTTAGTTATTTTATTTTATTTATTTTTTTCAGAGTGGTTATTTATTCTACAAATTTCAATTCAAGTCCAGAAAACTTTACACTGTGTTCATTTTAACTTTAACCCAGAGTGAAATAAGGATCTGGAATACAAAATAAAAAAATAAATAATTGAATTATTTTTCATCATAGTTCCGTATTTAAGGGAATCAATTCTGTAAAACAGCTGTGTTCTTTTTGACTCTGTTTTTTTTTTATCTTCACAGAAAGTTTTTGTCGTGCTGTTGACGTCGTGAGCCGTAGTTTTACGTGCAGTCAAAGTGAAACTGCAGCAGATTTAATCTAACGCTGCTGGTTTTACGCCCGTCAGCTGTGACCTCACCACAGACGTCGTTTTGAGTGAAGTGGGATCACACATGTCCTTGGCCTCCATCCAGTCGATCGGGTGCACGGGGTTGACTTTGAGCTTGGATCCAGTTTGAGTCTGCATGTCGTTCAAGTAAAAACAACAGAAATGTCAGAGTTTATAAAACACATCCTGCCCAACGGTGGTCGACCAGGAGCGACCCATTAACCTGACGTCTATTTTTGCAGGTTTTTTCTGACTGTGGGAAGAAGCTGCAGTATCTGGAGTCACCACCAGGGCTTCACATCAAAATCTTCTTGCTGTGAGGCAAAAAAACGCTAACCACTCTTCCACCGTGTGGCCCCTCATCCCAAAAGGTAATCCCAGAATATAAATTTGATCATCAGGGGGCGCTACCTTTAATGTTCAGTGTGTTCTCCAGAACTGTTGTCAAAAAGTTCCTGTGTCTCTGAGTACCAGTCATTCAAACACAGTTACAGGTTTAGAACTTTTTACTGTACCATAAAGAGTACTGAACCTGAACATGTTGGACTGTGCCAGAAAAGACCAATCAGAAAACTTTCAAAGAACTGCAGTAATACTACAGTACAAAAAAAAGTATCTGGTACTGATGCTGTAACGTTTGATCCTACTCGACACCCCCTGTAGTTCTAACTCTGGGTCAAGACAGAGACAGACAGAGACGGACTTACTGTGATGGTCCTGGCGATGCTGAGGAGCTGCGTGGAGCTGCTCTGTGCGTCCGCGCATTCTTTCTGCGAAGGAAAGCAGGACGTGGAGACGAAACACAGGAGAAGAAGAGCGGCGCTGGTGAAGGAAACAGACATGATGGCTGAGAGTCGGACGGTCTGAAGGCCAGGTAGGACAGACAGGAGCTGCTGGGTCAGTGTCTGTGTCAGTGTCAGTGTCAGTGTCAGTGAGTGATGAGAGACTCCAGCTCCTGTCTGCTGTGACTGATGCTGGCTGCAGGGAACACGGCTGCTTATAAAGGAGCTGTGGTCAGCGCGGGAGCAGGACTGTGAGTCAGTGCAGGGATTTCCTAGGCATCCCTCAGGTGAGCATCGACGTGTACGTAACGCACAGGAAGGAAGAGACGGAACTGGTGATCTTACTAATAAATAAACATATTGTGTTTCATGACGTGGTTCTAGCACAATTAATGATTCAAGTCGTTGGGTGTCGTAATGCGCGGGAGTTGGTGTGAAAGACCGATAGTTGGAGATGTTTTATTGGAAATACAGACACATGTACCGACGGGGTCGTGATGATAAATATTTATATTATATATATATATAATATATATGTATATATATATATACATACATGTGTTTAGACCTTTATGAAGGACGTTTAGAATTGGTATTTTTTATAGTTATAAAAATATGAAAAATATAACTTTATATTATGTATACACACATACGTCACACGCATACACATAAGTCAAAATGTTGTACATGTATATAAAAAGAGAGTATATGTCCTTTTCCTTACTGTAAATTCTATTATAGCATATTAAAAAAAAAACTGTATTCCTTTCTTTTTATTCTGGTGGGGGCCGGAGGGGGGGTCTTTGTCACCCGGTATCTTTTTATATATATATATTTGGTATAAGAAAGAAACAAAAAACTTTTTAGTTCTTATTTTACTTTTAATCAAAACACGAGTTTTGCTTTGAAATTGCTTTTTCAGAACTCTTACATTTATGGAGAATTGTTGACACAAAAAACGGAACACAACGAGCGGTTGGATACGTGGCATAAAATATGGTATTGAAAGTAAACAGGTTATTAAAGTCCGACACGTCATTAAAATTACGACATTAATCTTAGAATTTTTTTTTTTTTTTTTTGTGAAACAATTCTTGTACACAAACAGGAAATAATACTCTCCAGCAGTTACACTCAGGTGGACTGTAAGCAGGTGTTTCATTCACGGCTGTCCCCCCGGAAGTGCTTAGAATGAAAGTACAAAAACAAAAACAAACAAAAAAAACAAAACAAAAAAACAAACAAACAAAAAAAAACTCTTATAGTAATTTTTTTTTCCTGAATACAACAGTACTTGATGCCAATAATATTCCCTGCATGTCGTAAAACAAATTAAGTAATGTTTGACAACAGTACTTGATGCCAATAATATTCTCTGCATGTCGTAAAACAAATTAATTAACTCCCGTTGCAATTGTGGCATTTTATTGAGCCGTTACACAACCTGATCAGGCGTTATATTAAAAAAAAGGACATTCCCTTAAATGGATATTTAGTTTACATTTTACTCTCTTTTTTTTACCTTTTGTGTACAAATACTGAAACACGATTAGGTTTGTTTGAGCGTTAATACGTAATAGTAAAAACAGACTGTAGTGTTACATGAAAACATTTTCACAAGATACGTGAAGGACCGTATTCTTATTTTGTTTTTGAATAAATAATATCCATAAAATTAAAAATTATGATTTAATAAATTATCTACCTTTCAACTTTTGCCACTTTATTTTAATAATCTTAATTCTTGGTCATTTGTTGCCCACCATTTTCCTACTTATTTCCCGAGCATTTAAAGTGAGTTTAAGTCTGGCACGTTCACTGCAGTTTGAGAGGACAAACTTTTTTCGTGATGGGATTTATTTACGTAATATTCGAGTTCTTTGGGTTCGATTGTCTTCGGCCAAGGACTATCCACGACTTAACGACATAGACAACGTTTTAAAACGTGGTATAATCAATACATTTGTCCTTTTATGCAGATTTTCGTTCTTTCGAACTCATTGTAAACACTCGGGTCTCCAAACGTCTCACAACAGGAGGACCAGAGAAAACAAACACCCGTGCGGCTCTTGAACGCAGCTCTCTCCAGTCCAGTCCAGGGAGCATGGGTCCCGCAGTGATAAACCACATTTCAAGAATAGGTCAGTGCAAAAGGCACAATAATATTCTGCTTGTTTAAGGGTACATTTGTTGTTTGAGTGAATATTGAGTCTGATTTTCGTCCCAGTTCATTTTTTAGCTGCAGCACGCTGCTGTGGTTCGACGCTAACATACATTAGCAGCGCTTTTGGGTTCTTAAAAAAAAAAAAAAAAAAACGATGACACGAACAAATAACAAACCAAAATGGTACGATGTCTTTATAAACTCTAAATGTGTTGTGACGCATTTTTATAAACATTAAGTTAATATAATGTATTTTTTCGGCTGTGTTTTTGTTAGCGCATAGCTCTGACGTTAGCTTCCGGGGTCAAGTTGTTAGCATAACAATGCTAAAAGAAAGATGCTGTCTTTCAAATGGAAACGAATGAATAAAGTACAACTGAACAGACAAGGGTATTTATTGTAGTTCTAAGCGTGGATTTTATTATCGATTTTCTAATTTGTATCTATTTGGTTTGATTTGAGATGAAGGTCCTGACGTGGAAAGTTGTGTCTTAACATCAGTAAAAGTGTGAGTTTATTTTCACTGAAGAAGTTTGTGCTTGGATCAGGTTTGGACTCCAGACTTGGTCAAGACTAAACTGTGATTCTGTTTATTTTAAGTCATCGTTGATGAACAGACCTGCCTTTTTGGGGGGGTCTACAGGCTGTTAGTTGTTCACATTGTTTACATTAATCAACTGCAGTAAAAAAAAGACGTTCTCCACCTCATGTAGTTGGTGTTCACCTCATCTGTTCCTTCACAGGTTGACGCAGCAGCACCCATGATGAACTTTGAAGGTCTAGATACTGGGATGGGTGATTACCCTCCCAGCCTTCACGGGACGATGGACGGTGGTATGGACCCCCCCATGGACCCACACCTTAACCCCAGTCTGATGCAGAGCGTGGAGCTGGATCCAGAGGGTTTGGCCGTTCCAGTGCCTGAGCCTGTGCACCTCGTGGAGGGGATGTTTTCTGAGCTCCACAGTGTCGTGTCCGAGGTTGGCATCCCAGTGACTGCCACACATTTTGATCTGCAGGAGGAAATGCTCTGGATGGGCAATCATCGAGTGAGAATCTTTATCATGGACATATATAATGTCTTCCCTTTAATGTGAATGCCCAAATAACGTCTAAATGTATCATACGTGTCGTCAGGGTCACGTGAGTTCATTCTTTGGACCAACAATGGGAAGGTTTTCGTCTTTTCAAGCGAACGCCACCGACGACATTCGACACATTCAGAGTTTGGAAACGGGCGTGCTGTTCCTGTCCAAGTCTAACCTGAAATGTCACACGCGCGGAGGCCTGGTTGTGTTCGATTACGCGTAGGTGTCTCAAAACAAACAAACAAACAAACTAAAACATATTTCCTTATGTCACTTATTAAAGCACGTGTTTATTCCAGGATGGATGAAGGAGCTGATTTGCACAGTCTGCTGATGACTGACAACAACACTCTGCTCCTCGGGGGGTTGCAAAACTACGTGGCCGAGGTTGACTTGACCACCGTCCAAGAAACTCAGAAGGTAACGATTTGGGAATACACTTTGACTTGTGTGTCCAGTGATGTCATCTGACTGATTATTTTCCTGGTATTTGTGCTTCTGTAGTTCTCAGTCGAACTACCTGGAGTGGCAATAATGCGACAAACCGGCCGTTTCTTCTTCTGTGGGCACACTTCTGGAAAGGTATTTTCACATTTCTGATGGTACAAGAGTTTTATTTTATTTATGTATTTTAAAACACACTTTCATCCTCCGTCCTAACCAGATCACCCTCAGAGACCTGCGCACTTTTAAGATGGAGCAGGAGTTCGATGCGTTTTCCGGGAGCCTCTCGGACTTCGACGTCCACGGAAATCTCCTGGCGGCGTGTGGTTTCTCCAGTCGAGGACTGAACGGTTTGGCCTGCGATCGTTTTTTGATGGTGTACGATCTGCGTATGATGCGAGCAGTGACGCCACTTCAGGTGCACGTGGACCCCTTGTTTTTGCGTTTCATTCCCACCTACACGTCACGTCTGGCCATCATCTCTCAGACAGGTATGAATTATGGGTAGTTTTTTTTAATTTCTTTTTTTAAATCAGGGTATTTTGCTGATATTTAATATTTGCTGTACTCTTCCAGGCCAGTGTCAGTTCTGTGAACCCACTGGTCTCGCCAATGTGGCCGACATTTTCCACGTCAACACTGTGGGGCAGTTGCTCATGAGTTTTGACGTCTCGTCCAGTAAGCAAGCCCTCGCCTTTGGGGACTCCGGGGGCGTCGTACACCTGTGGTCCGACGCCCCTGAGGTTTCCTTTAACGACTACTCCCGTGAGACTGACTTTCCTTTACCGTGCCTGGTGGACACGTTGCCTCAGCTGGACTGGAACCACGACCTTTTGCCCCTCTCCCTTCTACCCATGCCCCTGACCAGCACTGAGCCGCTGCTCTCAGACTGGCCCTCCGCCCTGTCTACACCCTGTCCCAGGTAACAGCATCACTTCACTCACACTAATGCACAGTTTATATAATAATAATAATAATATAGCAAACCGTGTTAGTGGATATTGTTTTGCGATCTGCAACAATTAATAAATTAATAGGGTCAATTATGAGGTGATTTTTCTTAATCTTTCTTTTTATTTAACTTCCTTTAATTTCATTTGTTGCACAAATGTCACGGTACCTTTATATGGAATAACTCACTACTAAATGTGAACAAGATTGAGTTCAGGAGAATTTTAATTATTCCTAATTAATCAAACAGAGTTTGATAATTAATAATAGCTCCATTTTACATGAAGTGACTCCAGTATTATTTTTATATATCGCTGTCATTAAATACACAATGGGAGTCAGCTGTGCCTGAAGTCGCACCGTGCCGTCCTGTGGTTGGCACTGAGAAAAGAAAAGGTCACGAGTTTGAATCTCACTTCTCCCGATAAGCAGTGGGAGATGATTGGCCGAGGGGGGAAAACGAGCGTTGTTTGTGTAGCCAAAGTGAAGACCATATACTGACCATGGGTAATAATTATGTGACCATCTCTTCATCCTGACCTTTTAGTCACCACACACACACACAAACATACACATATACACACACATACACACACACAAACACACGTGGAAAGAGTTCCCACTGTTCACTCTCGTCACTTCTCACTTCTGCTTTAGGAATGTTTGGCAGAAATTACAGCACGGAGGTAATCAGGCCTTTGTTATAAATGAAACTAAAGAACTCAACCCTCGGCCCGGGGGCCACCTCTGGTACACTATCCCTCCACATTAGGACCAAAACAGGGCATAAACAATTTAATTTTGCCCTTGAATAATTATTTAAAATATATATTTTTAATTTTTAATTTAGCAGCTGTGGCCCCTCGGCTCCTGTGAGTTTGTGGCCCCTGCTGTGAATGGATGATCTCACTTCCCACGTTACTCAGATATTACTTCATACTGTGTACTTCTCTTTTCTGTTGTAGCTGTTGTTAATTCTCACATTTCATGTGTGTGAATTGTGTGTGTGTGTGTGTGTGATGTCACTTAATTATTATATTGTCTGTTTCGCTGGATTGAACATACAGGAAAATTTCAGCGACCACGAGTTCATGAGTTCATGAGTTCATCAGTTCATTTCCACAGAAATGAAGGAGTGTGAGTTTACGCTCAGTGTTTTTGTTTTGTCAACAACAACTCGTGTCTGATTTGAGGTTTGTTTTATTTGAGGTTCGAACTGATGTTTTAAAACGGAACCTTTCAAACTCCAGTCAAACCCTTGAATTCAGTCAAAACACTGTGTTGTAACAATGAACTTTATATTTGGAAAATTTGACTTTTTTTTCCCCCGACAGACGAGCGCCTCCTGTGGACCCAGAAATCCTGCGCACCATGAAAACCGTGGGCTTCATCGGTTATGCAGCGAATCCTCGAACTCGACCTCGCAACCAGGCATGTGGAGACACACACACAAACACACACGTCACGGAGACAACGCGTTCCCTGACCCTTTACCATAATGTAACACACGCTGATGCATTTTTCAGTCACAGTAGAAACACGAGCCAATTTTCTAATGTAAAAAATGTTGTAGATATTTTTCACCTTTAATTAAATAAAAGGTAAATTCTCGAAACATTTTCTTTATTTTAAAAAACCTGAAAACCTTTTGACCTGTGACTCTAATAATTGTCAGAATACTAGACAAAAATACACAAAAAACAAGGAACAACACATGTAAATAACTCTAATGAAACTGTTGTTACTTTTGTTGTTTTTCTAAATGCTAATTTTGTCAGATTGTGTTTTTGATTAAGTGGACCTAAAAATTATTTACGATCTTGTACTTCAAGAATATCCAGTGTACTGGTCGGCTACGCTGTACGTTCATGGATTAAAACTCTGTTCAATTTCTGTTGATTTCTTTCAGGTTCCGTATAAAGTGAAAGATGTGGAACTGGATTACGACAACTACAACCAGGTCCCTGAATCTCCGATCGGCCGGGATGAGGAGCCACATCTCTACATGGTTCCCAAGAAGTACAGAAAGGTGTGGTTGGTGGTTAGGGTTAGGGTTAGGGTTAGGGGCTGGAGGGGGGGTGTAGAAAACAATAAGAGTACAAACATGGGAGGTGCACAAACGGTTAATGTTTCACACACACGTGACCTTTGATGTGCTTCAGTGCATTTGTTGATGCTCAAGTCAAGCCCAAAACCCCAAAAATATCAGCGACCAATGATTTCTGACGTTGGGTGTTTGATGCTCAAGTCAAGCCCAAAACCCCTGACGTTGGGTTGAGCGCCCCCTAGTTGCCGCAGAGCTATTGCAATGCCTAAAAAAAATTGTTCATCTGTGGGAAATTTGTATCTGATGACTAGTTTGATTTCTGTCTTCAATGAAATAGCAGAGTTTTATTTTAATTCATTAGTTTTTAGCTGTGAATGTGCGGACCCAAAAGGAGCTGCGGCCCTCATGTTGAAGACCTCAGTCATATTTTACCGTTCCATCATCTAAAGCATAAAAAACATGGATTTATTTATTGTTTATGTATGTGTTGTAGGACTGGATCCTCAGTCTGTTGCTGTTGTCCAGGTCTGTGATTAAGAGCAGGTTCGTTCTGTTTCAGGTCACCATCAAATACTCCAAACTTGGACTGGAGGACTTTGACTTCAAACACTACAACAGAACCTTGTTTGCTGGTCTGGAGCCTCACATTCCTAACGCCTACTGCAACTGCATGATCCAAGTGAGTGATCGCAGAAGTTCTGAATTCCTGTTAGCTACGTACAGCAGTCATTTGATGAAACAATGTTATCAATGTTAGTAATCACAGGGTGGCTGTGGTTTTTTAACAAAACAAAAAAAAACACCTTCTGCGTGTAAGGCAGCTCTGATAACAACTACAGAACCACGGTTAATCACAGGCTCTCGTGAGTAATCATAAACTAACATTTCTAGAAATGAATGTTGTTTGAACAGAAAGAGAAATATCAGCAGGTAGAATTAATGTAGAAATATTTAGGATGAAATTATTTATTTTCACTCTTGTCTTCTAACTTTACCTGTTGGTGTTTTAGGTGTTATATTTCCTGGAACCGATTCGCTGTCTAGTGCAGAACCATTTGTGCCAAAAGGAGTTCTGTCTGGCCTGTGAGCTGGGTTTCCTCTTCCACATGTTGGACCTGTCCCGAGGAGATCCATGTCAGGTGGGCGCCCGCTGCTGTCTCTCTGAGCATCAGCCATAAAATCCCAGTCATCCCAGATCTGTCTGACGGTTCTCTCCCACATCTGTCTCCCCTCCTCTTAAGGCCAGTAACTTCCTGCGAGCCTTCCGGACCATTCCTGAAGCCTCGGCGCTCGGCCTGATCCTCGCGGACTCCGATGAGCAGACGGGGAAAGCCAGACTGGGGCGCTTAATCCAGAGCTGGAACCGCTTCATCCTGACCCAGCTTCACCAGGAGACGCAGGAACAGGAGGGGCCACAGGCCTACAGGGGGGCCAGCAGCAGGTCAGAGGACGGGTTCGAGTCCCGGGGCCAATCAGACGACATTGTTCTAAAAAAAGATCTATTTTGATTCCAGTTCTCTGGGCTCCTCCGGTGAGTCTGTGATCGGGAAACTGTTTGGATGTGAAGTGGAGAACAGTAGTCTGTGTCGCTGCGGCAAAGAGACGGTCCGCTCCTCCCTCACGCTGCTCTTCAACATGCATTACCCAGAGCAGAACTCTCAGGGTGAGTTCCAAGTTCTCAGTCAACGTCAGCTGAACAAACACAAGATTCTTTCTTTTTTTCTTTAGTCATGATAAGTAATAACTAACTTACTTTTTCTCTTCCTTTAGTCATGATAAGTAATAACTAACTAACTTACTTTTTCTCTTATACTTTTCATATATAATTTATTCAATCTGTCAATTATATCATAATTTTGTTTTACAGTGCATTTCATAATTATATATTATTGTGAACTTCATTATTATAATTGTATTATTTATGGTCATTTTGTTTTCAAGACTTGGAAGGAAGTGCAGCACATATTTAATTTACTTGTTTCTTTTTTTCTCCATAATTAAATGTTTTATACTCAGTTGTTTTAGGGGACAATTAACAGTAAAGTATAAAGAAAAGTGTCACATTTGTTGTTCATAATGTCCTGTAAATGCCCTGTGTTTCCAGAGTCATTGTGTAATTGTGTCAAATTATTGTAATAATAATTACAGTCATTGTAAACCAAAAATAATTGTGATTATAATTTTGTCCATAATTGATCGTCTTGACTAAAACCAGCGTGCTGTCAAACCTGAAGTGTTGTCACGTGTCGTCAGATGGCCGACGTCGTCCGACTCGTTTCCTATTTAATCCATTTTTGTGTCTCTTTGACGTCGACTCTTCAGAAAAGACAGTAAAGGAGTACGACTTTGCCGAGATCCTGAAGAAGAGCATCTGTCTGGAGCAGAGCACGCAGGCCTGGTGTGAGAACTGTGAGAAGTACCAGCCCACAGTGAGTACCAGTGGCCGCGTGGTTAGCATGTTAGCATGTTAGCAGGTCACATCAACACCGCTCTGGTACAGTGTGTGTGTTTGTTGCCTGTTGTAGGTGCAGACACGTAACATCCGATGTCTCCCGGACGTCCTGGTCATAAACTGCGAGGTGAACAGCGCCAAAGAGGCGGAGTTCTGGAAGGTGCAGGCCGAGGTGACTGACACATTGTGTCCTAACTGGTTTAGCGTCACGGCACGTATTTAACATTAGCTATTCCCACGGCGTAGCACCAGAGAAAACTGTCACAAATATATACGCAATGAAATACAATCCTGTCCTTGTTTAGTTTTAGTCATTTAGTTGAACGCAGCTCTGATATACGCACAGGAATTGAAGAAAGACGCACACAAAGATCTTCTTTAATAGCTCTTTTTTTTTTACAAAAAAATATTTTCTAGTAAATTAAATTTAGATAATTTACCGCGGAACATTCCACAGGTTAGTTTTAGATGTAGTTCAAAATTGTTTTGAAATATTTTCATGAACAACTGAGTAACAGTTTGTTTTTTTTTCTTCCTCTTGTCAGTATGCCTTTAATAAGGCCATGCAGAAAGAAGCCATGGAACCCGCCAAACCGAAGGAACCGCCACCGATGCCCACAGAGTGGTGTTTGGAGTAAGAACAACTTCCAGCGAACACATCTTGTTATGTGTAAATGATCAGAAATGGAAAATTCCCCAGACCTGGGGACAATAATGCTTTCTATTTTTTTTTTAATCAAAAGATAAAACTACTTTGAAGTACTGACCGTACTCACCAACAGATACAGGAAAATACCCATCTTTAGAAGATAACGCCTTCTAGGGATTTTCGTAGAACATACCTGATACTCGAGGTTTGAAACTGACAATTGATAAAAACGAAATCTAGAAGACTGGAGAGTCAGAAGTGAACCTCAGGCTGTCCCACGTGTAGATAAGGCCTGTGTAGGAAATATAGTTGAGATACGTTTATTTTGAAGTGTGATTACGTCATGAAAACCGTGTTTAACACCCACACCCACTCCCTGTGCATGCTGGGACAGCGGCGAGGACTTCTGCAGCATGGACGGCTTTGCCTTCGACACTCGGGCCGAGGATTTACGAAACGTCTGGATCCCACTGAGCCTGAAGATGTCCATCAGCAAAAGTCAGGGTCTGGAGATCAGCAGCTGGCCCGAGGGGGAGGAGGTGAGGACTTCACCCCTCAACTCTTCCTCACTGATGTTGCCTTCACAAAGAGTTGCACTGAGATATATAAAAAAAAGGTTTAAAGACCCTAGTGAAATAAAGATGTAATAACGATCTCCACCTTCGTCCTCTGCTGCCAGCTGAGTGCCGAAGACGAGGCGGCGGGCGCAGCTCTGTACGACCTGGTGGTCACGGTGTCCCACGTCCTGGACGCTCGCACTGGTGGAAACCTGGTCGTACACATTAAAGTGGGAGAGACCTACCACCAGAGGAAAGAGGTGAGACTCTGGGGGGGGAGGGGTCAGAGGGGTCAGAGGGAGGGGTTCTGTGTGAACATGGCCGCTTTTAGGTTACATTCACCAAAATAAGACACTTCACTGTAATAATAAATATATATATACATACATATATAAATATATATAATATATATTCTAATTTTCGAACCCTCAGCAAATATAACCAAAATAAATGTATATATGTGTATATATACATATATCTATACATGTATATATGCACATACATATATACCTATATATATACATATAACCAAAATAAATCTGTGTATATATATATAAATGTATATATACACATGCATATATATATTAGAATATATATATGTGTGTGTGTTTGTATATGTTTTCATGTTTATGAATATGATATGAAGTGTCAATTAGATGAGGTCAACCTTTATTGACGTTCTGTCGGACTGTCGTTGGTCGTGGCGTTCGGCCGTAAACGTCGTACACTTGTTTGTTTCCAGGGCGTCACACATCAGCAGTGGTATCTCTTCAACGACTTCCTAATTGAGCCGATTGACAAGGTAAACGTTGGATCACTTTATAATAGGATGCCGTGGTGAAATCTAAATATATTGCAGCCTACTATAAACATATAAATATATATATACATCTATATATTCCTTTGATGTGGTTGTTGTTTGTCAAAGGCTGAAGCGGCTCAGTTTGACGTCAGCTGGAAGGTGCCGGCCATTCTCTACTATGCCAAGAGGAACCATCACTCCAAATACGACCCCCGCAGTAAGTGTTCGGACTCAGAGTTCAGATTTTTCTGCTGGATCCTCTCATCATGTTCTACGATGTGTCCAGTCCTTCATCATCATCATCATCATCAAGGTTTGACCTGCGTGTGTGTGTGTGTGCAGGAAGAGGCAGAACTACGCAGTGACGGAACCAAGTCCACCATCAAACCCAGTCAGATGTCAGTGGCCAGAATCACCTGTGTCAGGGGTCAGGGTCCCAACGAGGGGGTGCCCTTTATCGACGACTACATCTCCACCCAGGAGCAGGTGAGACCTCCACACCTCCTGGGTTTTACGCTGTGTATTATACAGTATATATGTATTTATATATGTGTGTGTATATATGTATATGTATATGTATATGTATATGTATATATGTATATTTGTCTGTATATGGATTCCAATTTCCATGTATATAGGAAGATTTATATACATAATGTGTGTAATTATATGTATATATGTATGTATATATGTGTATATACAGTATGTACATATGTGTATATATGTATATATGTGTATATATTTGCCTGTGTGTCTGATTTTCCTACTCAAATGCTGTAATCTAGTATTTTTTTCACCTTCACGTTCTTCCAGGTTGTGGACTATCTGACGCAGTATTCTGGCATCAAACCTGGAGACCTCGATGCAAAGATCTCCTCCAAGCACTTAACCACTCTCAAGTCCACTTACCTGAAGCTGCGTTTCCTCATCGATACGGGGGTGCGCTTCGTGGGCCACGGTCTGCAGAAGGACTTCCGTGTCATCAATCTGCTGGTGAGTTGGACTAACGTCACGTCACGTCACGTCACGATCTCTGGCCTCAGTCGTACTGAAGTCGAACCTGAGGTCATGTTTATTTGATGCTCACATTTTCATGTCCTTTTTCTGTTTTCAAGGTCCTCAAAGACCAGGTGGTCGACACCGTCTACCTGTTCCATTTGCCTCGCAAGAGGATGATCTCTCTGAGGTTTCTGGCCTGGTACTTTTTAGGTCGGTTCACACAGAGGTCTAAGTTTGAATCTGTTTATTTCCTGTTCCTGCGGGACAACAGAGTCGACAGATATTAGCATAACTGTGTAATATCTGTATAAGTCGTTATCATTTTTTTTCCTCTCACCATGGGTTTCGCTAAATGATGTGTGACCTAAAAATAGTTTGGGGGAAAAACGTCTGTATATGAAAGTTAAAGTCACTAGATGGCAGCATTGCAGCTGATTTTATTCATCTATTTTAATAATCAGGGGATTGGTGCCAGCAACTCATACAGATGAACAAATAAATATTCAATATTTTTTCTTTCCGCCTCCACAGATCTTAACATCCAGGGGGAGACACACGACAGCATAGAGGACGCTCGCACGGCGCTGCAGCTGTACAGGAAGTACCTGGAGCTGAGTCGAAGAGGAGGCAACGACGAAGTGAGGAAGGTCCTGAAGGGACTGTACGAAAAAGGCCGGCAGCTGGACTGGAAAGTTCCGGAGTCAGACACAGGAGATGGTCAAGGTAGCCCAAAAAGTACGGCACCACGTTGACTTAGAGGGCGACAGGTGTTTACAGATGAAGATGATTTAAAAAAAAAAAAGTTTAGACTGCACGGCATGATGGGAAATGGTTTTCTAAGGATTTGAAACAACTCTTCGTCCTCATCTTGTGTCAACAGGTGGCGCTGTGTTTCCCTCTGTGATGGGACTGTGAGCTGCACCGTGGTGGAGAACCTTTGGTCCGATCTCTGCTGCTTCACTTCGTCCCTCGTTTGTGATGATGTTGGGTTTTTTTTTTCATCCGTTTTTGAAGTTTGTAAAGAGTTAGTGAAAAGTCTGACTGCGTTTCTGTCGCTGCACAGTTTGGTTCACGTCAAGACTTTTTACTCTTCAGTTTTTACTCAGATTTGTAAGATGGAGTTAATGTTATAAAAGATTTTTTTTAACATTGTTGTTAAAAATGTAAAATAAACCATGTGCCATTTCTACCGTTTGTTTCTCTGTGTTCATTATTGAAAACTTCTCGTCCACGTAGTTGTCCTGACAGAGAACCTATTAACAATGACTTTTGTTTTGCAGGTCACTGGAGTTTTCACCATTTTTCCTGCTGCGCTTCACGTTTGTCCCTTCATTTTTCGTCAGAAGTCGGATTTGGTTTTTTTTTTTAAATATTGTTTTGTAAAAAAAAACCATTTGCCATATATGCCTGCATTTATTTTCCCCCTGTGAATGATTTGGATGTTTGCACTAGTTCTTGTGAAAACATTTCTTCCTCTTTTTTTCCTTTTTGCCTTTTCCCCCTTTGTTTGTTGGTTTAAATGAGGAATTGGATTTGTGCCGATTCAGCACAAGGTCGACGCTGCCTGACGTTAGTTGTGAAAACGAAATTACAGCGTTTGATTGCGTGTATATATTTGTAAAAAAAAACGTGTATATATATATGTATATATACATATATGTATACATATGTATGTATACATATATGTATACATATATGTACATATGTGTACATATATGTATGTGTGTATATATTTTATATTATACAGTATATATCGTATTTTTCTTGCTGTTTCTTTTGGCGCGCGCGAGTCATAGTGCATAGTAAGATGGTTTGTGTAATTTAACAATTTATTCCTGACTTTATAAAGTGTGTGAATTTTTTTTTTTGGCTAAACGTTTTGATTGGCGTGCAGCAGTGCAGTGGTAGGACCCACTGCCTGACATCAGAAGGTTCAATGCCATCTAGTCCAGGTCAGGTTGTACCAGGAAGGGCATTCGGTGTGTGAAATATCTGACTCTTGAGTAGTGCAGTGGTAGGACCCCACTGCCTGACATTAGAAGGTTCAATGCCATCTAGTCCAGGTCAGGTTGTACCAGGAAGGGCATTCGGTGTGTGAAATACAATCAAGACTCTTGGTGTAGACCTCTGCTGTGGCGACCTCTGGTGGAGGTACACGCTAAAAGCGATTCTTGTTTGGTTAATTCTGCTGTTCTTATAAATTATATGTACCGCTATGAATATGACGTCATGTGTATTTACCAGTTAGTCTAGTCTAGTATTTGTTCCTCTGTTGACTGAAAATCTGCTGCAGTGATTGTGATGTAAGGCTGAGGTGAGTCGACTCCAGTGGGTTTTCTGAATTTTATCATGAATTTGTTAAACAATGTAAAATATACAAAACAACCATCCTGGTCCTTCATCACAGAAAAAAACAAACAAATGACACGGTTGTAAATAAAGGCAGTATGACGTTATTGCATAGGTCATCGGAAGTCACTTTAATTTGTGTAATGACTGTACAGACTGAAGTGTCCACACAGGACTGTCTCAATATTACCAGAAATATTTAGGAAGAAAAGTCGATGGAATTTGTCGTCACTGACAAAAACTTTTTTTTTTACTCTGTACAAATACCGGTGGCTATAAGAAAAGTACAAAATGGAAAAGACATGCAAAACAAGTCATGATGAGTTATTTCTCAACAGGTTTATAAACAAACGGCAGAGTCAACAGAAGTACATGAGTAAATACTATGATGTACTTTAAAGGTCTGAATGTAGAAAAAACGGTTCCGAGTTCTGTGTGTCGATGAACGAGAGTGGAAATATCTTAAATGGAGACGGTGATAACGAAGTCCTTCCTCCCTGTCAGAGTGTGTGTGTGTGTGTGTGTGAACGTTTTAAGAATCCCGCTCCAGCTCCTCCAGCTCCTCCTCCAAAGCCTTCGCTCGCCCCAGCTTCTCCAGCTGATCTTTTGTCGGCTGCTTTATTTCCCCAGAGTCCACTTTCTGTTTCAGTTCCTCCACCTGACGCAGCTTTTTCTTCAGGTTTTTAATCTTCTTGGCCTTTTCGCTCGCCGCGGAATCACCAGATGGTGGCGCTGCCTCGTTGACAGACTCTTTGTCCTGGGCAATGGAGACACTTTCCACAGCGTTGCTGATGGACTCGACGTCCGCGTCTTCTTCTCCATCCTGGCCTTGTTGCTGCTGCTGTTTTTTCTTTTCCTTACGCTTCATGTTGCGTTTGGCCGACTTGGAGAGTCCGGCGCCATCGCTGTCTCCAGAGCCGTGGACCCTCTGCTGCTGCTTGGCTGGAGCGGCGTTCAGACCAGGTGGAAGGTCTGGTTTGCTCTTGAAAAACTTCACGTATTTGTTTTCGTATCTAAAAACATCAATGAACAGAAACAAAGTGAGACTCGAACAATGGGGGAATTCAACAAAAACATACAAAAATAATCTACCTGTTACTGTTAGTGTAGCCTAAATAATAATCATCCTAAAGTATGTATCGCCACCTGCTGGACGGCGCTCGATTTCTCAAAAAAAACATCTGAGGTTATTACAGTCCAGAACGTCAGCACCTTATAAGGTTAAATGCTAAAACCCATGTTTTTGTTTTTTTCCAGAAATAAACCGACTAGAGTGATCAGATATTAGCAGTTTAAAAAAAAAAAAGTAACGGTGCAGTAACGTGTGTGAAGAAACAGTCCACCTACACTGGCACTTCCTCCTGAGGTACGTAACCGTCCTTCACTTTCCGGGGTTTCCTCCATGTTCCATCAGGACGCTGTGTTGCCGCGATATACTTCCCTGGGGGAACAACCATTTGATTAGCATCATGCTAACTTTGACATTAGGGGTTCATTCAGTCTTTTTATCACTGCAGTACTTTTACACTCAGCGAGGGCGGGGTCACATCCTGTCCATCACAGGGACACGGACTCATACTCATTTTAAACCAGTGGTTAGTTAGTGTGATCAATTAACCTAGTTTGGTGGCATGTTATTGACCGCGCACACACACGGAGAACATAAGAACGACATACAAAATAAGCTGCAATTGGAAACAAGTGATGTTCTGAAGAGGGCGACACTGCCCCCGTGTGGCCAACTATTGTAATTGTGATACTTTTAATTGATTCTATAGGAACGATTATCTGATAAATTACAGGGAAGATATGGATTATTAACGATTAATCATGCCTATTGTTTTCACGATTAATTAATATATGTGTATATTATTATTTTTATTGTTTCCGATTGGCTGCTACCTTCGTCAGAAAATATCTCATGGGCAAGAAGATGAATAATACTTTTGTCAAATTAAAAAGCAGATAGATGGCTTTAGTGATCCTAAACAACTAAATAAAACCCAGAAAACTAGTACATTCTGGTTTTAATAATGTAACTTGTTGAATACCTTTCTACCTTCGCTGCAGATTTGGTTTAAACTTATTTTATTCCATTACTATTGGTGACTCTACCTTGAATGGTAGCGGGGTTATAGATATTTGTGTTTCAAAAAATGAATTACAACTGTTGCTTGGATTTTTGAAAAAACAAAAACAAATTCCTAATAATAGTTTCAGATCAAAACAACGAACTTGATTTAAAACGATGGACTCTAAGGGTGCGTTTAAGTGCCATGTTTTTTTTGTTTTTTTTTAGTCAGTGCAAGTATCACACCTTACAGTTTTAGGGATGTATAAACACATCCCAAATAGAAACCAGCGCTCAGGAAAGCGTTAGCCTAACGTTAGCTGCTGCAGCTAACACTAGCATAGGTTGGCTGCTGAGTATGTTAGTGTTGATGATACTTTTGGATGTTTGAAATCACCACTTCAGTGGTATATGCACTTCGTTTGTTGGACAAGGATTGGTTTATTAGGACAAGGCTCTGGGAAACAGAGCATTCTTACCAGATTCGTCTGTCACATAAGGGGTTGCCATTTTGACGAGGTGTTCCGCTGCTGTTAGTGCTCGGCGCCTCAATTGTCGCGCTGTTACTGTGCCTCCTCAATTTCCAAGCCGGGGTGTTAGAGCGCACACACAGTCGGATAACTGCAGCTATTCAAGCATTTGTTCTAATGTGGCGTATTCTCTCCATGCATCTGTGTTCATTTGAGTTGCTACACGCGGCTAAACGAAACGCATGACCCCGGTTAGCAAGCGAACCACGACCGCTAGGATACGCATGGAACCGGTGGATGCTGGGTACCAAATCAAACAAACCCTGTGTCTCGACTTCGGAAATGACGACGTGGATTTTTGGGTTGCCATGTTCTAATGTTTAGATGCTTAGCGCTGTACTTCGAAGTATTCTGTTACAACTTAACTCATAGAATAGTGAAAAGGTCTCAAGCTTGAAAACGTATCCATTGTACGTTCGTATTCCTGTGTTCATTTGTATCTAATATTTTCCTGTGTATATTCCTAAACACAAAGATGTACCAGTTGAAAGTGCATGCAAGCGATCAACTCCATGGACTAAGTGGGGGTACTTTTGGCCTTCTTTTTGGTCCATGGTCACTAGCATGGTTTGTTTTATTTTGTAGTAGACGATACTAAGTGTCTGTGGATCCCTGGAGCAGATAATCAAACACGGCAGCATACCTCCCTCCCCCTTAAAACTGCATTTTATTTGCATTTTACAGATGTCATGTAGTACTTAAGTAATTGTAAACGTTCTGCACATGTAAGACCACAGATAACAGGTAGAGCTGCAGGTACAACTCAGTCAGAAATGACAAAATTATTGCCATAAATCAATGGCAATCCCCCCTTCACTGACTGTCTAAAAAATATTAGCGATAAGGAAAGTAACATGCCTTACATTTATAAAATGGGTCAATAAATAAGTAGGTATTATTCAACTATAAATATAAGCACTAATACAGTTTTCTCTATATTAGTTTATAACTCTTTTGTAGTGGTCTTTTTTTAAGCGGTGGTTATAAATACTATGTTTAATGCTCAGTTTTGCTTTAAAAGGGGGGGTTGTTGAAGAACAGATCTGGCAACCCAGATGGGGTCGTCTGGAGAAAATTCTGCCAACAGCAGACTACTTGGCATTACAGAAGGCTGGCTGCAGAAGCTGCGGTAACCTCTGTGCTGAATCTGCTGTGCACTTTTGTCGCCATCACAACGTAGGTATTTTCATTCTTTTTTTCTTTATTTTTTAAAGAAAAAGAAAAACTAAAATAACCAACCAGTGCTTGAAAGCCCAACATTGCGGTGTTCTCCTATCGTTCCAATTGAAGTGCTAAGTGTCTGGTTAGCTTTACAACAAGACACTAAATAAAAAGCCAAATATTCTGCTAGCTGCGCGTTAGCTCAGCCCAAAAGGCTACCTGTGTGACGGGGGGTGTTTTGTGCTTCTTGTTGCATTCTGTCTCTATCAATGTTATTGTACGGTCTTTTCTGTGTTCTTTACATTTCACTGCGTTCTATCACGCAGATATGTGCAAAGCTAATCATATACCGTTAGCAAGCTAGCGTCAACGTAGGCTGCAGACTGGAGCCAGCGGCTCAGAGAGGAAGCGGTGGCGACGCTGCTGTAAAAGACGATTTGAGTCCAGAACCAAACACGTCTGAG